GATACTGGTGAGCTCAGCAACCATTCGGAATTTTGCAAAGACAAAGTTGACTTAGACTTTGGTTTCTCAAACTTCAACAATGAAGTAAACTATATTTCAATGCTGCTGGAACTGCTTGGGACCCAGTTAAGTTCACATGCGAAAAATTTGAATGCAAGAGAATAGAAAGCAGACTTGCAGTCTATATGTTGGACCCAGATATTTCAAATGCTTTAGCTGCCAAATATATTGCAGTTCCACTTATGTTCCCTATACACCAAATATCTGTAAAGACTTTGCAGGTGAAGTTGGAAACCAAAGTGCTGACCCAGGTGCAAGAACAGATATTGCTTTAACAACTGCAATGAAACATGCAGATACTATGTTTGTACTGTTCAGACGAACTATAAATGACTATTCTTGTTTCTACAACCCTGGTATTAAATATCATATAAACATAGATGGCAAATATTATCCAAGAGAAGAATATTCTACAGTTGAGGATATGAGGTCATACAACTTGACATTAGATGCTATGAACTTTAACAACAACTTCACAACAACCATTAACCCTGAAATGCAAAGTTCTATTATGCCATATGTGAAAGTATGGACTCATACAGGAGGTCAAAAAACTCAATATACAAATGGAGACCGTTCAAACTTTTGGCTTGGCATTCCATTTGCTGACTCAGAAGACTTTATGGGTGGTATTTCAACTGTTGGTACTGTACAAATACAATATACTGGTGACAGAGACGGTCCAGATGAATTGAGAGCAAAGAAGTTTACAAAACCAATAGCACTTTTCACGGAAGATGCTCTTTTGAAGATTCGTTCGATGAAACCTGCTGGGGCTCCTCAGATTGGCATAACGACAGCTTCCATCGAGCAGATTTTGGCAGCAGGTCAGTAAGTTGTTCTTGAACTGACTTCTCTCCGTCAAATATTGACAGTACGCCAGTTTTGACATAAATTGTATTATAAACTTACCTTTAGAAATATCTGTAAGTTTTGTTGTTATATTTTTGTCTGCTTCAAGAACTTTCACCATTTCAGTTATACCAACTTTCTTTGCTTTATGAAAATATTTTGGTTCAGCAAAGACTGCTATTCTATAACATTTTCCATTGTTTGTAAAGAACTATTCTGTCAATGTATTTGTATTGTTTGTGTGTGTAAACTTTGTTCTGCTTCAATTCGAAGAGATACTCAATACGTCCATCTTTTTATTCTAAGTAAAATGTCATTTCCGAAAAATAGAAGCGTAAGTGTTTCAAAAGGTTTAATGGCGGTGGCAGATGTGAAGTTAAATTCACCAACTCAAACAAACAGTCAAAGTGTTATTGTCAATGTCAAAGAAAGAGATGTTGAAGTGGGGAAACCATACGAAGACGAAGATGGTATAACAATTGTTCCTGTAAAAGAACAACCAACATACCTGAAGTTAGCAGAGACTTAAGTTCTGTTGCAGATATTCGAAACGACTACCAACAACTGAAAGACAAACTTCAAACTCAGGAGAAGATTTGTCAAGCTTTAGGTATAATGTTAAACTTGGTCGAACACAACCCTGTAAAAGTGAACTCATATGTCATTGCACCTCATGAAGTTTTGAAAGAACTATTGAAACTTTTGACAGAGGCAGACGATATAAACATCAAAGAAATAGAACCCGACATTAGTTGCTGTGGTGTTTCATATAATGTCATTGACAAGATATACGTTATGAAAGGAGGTGAAACGTTGAACTTAAAATATAGTTTCCCAGACGTTATAAAAATATTTGACGACCACAACATTTCATTAAAATTTATTTGCTAAGTAAATGGCAGAAGACATAGTGGTTTATACTATTACGACTAAAAACCCTGAGTCATATAATTCTATAACAACAAACTTACAAAGTCCTCAAGGACGATATTGTAAACTAACCTTAAACACAATGACGACTAAAGCCTGTTTTGCTCTTTTGACACCAGAAGACTTTATTGTTGTGAATGGTAAAAAATACTCCTTTGAAGATACTTACTCAGATATACCACCAACAGGTTTTGTTGACTTATTTAATACTTTAAGGACGGTGTAACATGTGCTGCAACTAGAGCAGGTTTCATTATGTTTGGATGTCCGACTGAGTTTACTATAAACGATATGAGCTATAATACAAAACTTATATCTGGTTTTTACTACCAACAGTTTCCTATAACAGGAAAAGGTGTCATACAAGGAATGTCTGTTCCATTGACTTTAAGCACACCTATTTTATATATTGTTTCAAACTTAGGTTCAAAGTGTTATTCGAATGTCGACAGAAACTACTATGACCAAAAGATACTTATGCGTATAAAAACACTTTCTCTGCTGGTTTGCCTATTGTTCATTCGAATGCAGAGTTTTCAGCTTTAGTGAACTCAAACACTTTGGCAAGTATAAACTTAACCTTAGTTGACGCAAACTTTGTTCCTGTAAAACTTTTATGTCCTATGTATTTGTCAATGACGGCAGAAAGTTTCGAATTGGAAGATGCAACTGGTGAAAGTATTGTATTACAAGAACAACTTCAACAACAAATAGCTCAAGAACAACAACAAATGCAAGAACAACAAATGCAACAAAGTCAAGAATAAAAAAAAATATTTTTTTTATTTTTATAAAAATGTACAGAATAGATGTTTCAGATTTTTATGACTTCCAAGCATTCAGAAATATGTGTCCATTTAGACTATAACAAAGCAGTCGAGAATTTGAAACGTTTAGTCATTTATGTCGACTCTGCCCCAGAATGTTATGTTATGAAAGAATGGGATGTAGTCTTTAACAAACCAAAGCGACAATAGTTTCAGAACAAGAATGTAGACAGAAACTTAAGAAAATAAAAGTCGTACAAGTTGGCATGAAGATGTTAGATGCTTGGGATATCTTATTGTCAAAGTTAGAAGATTTTTCAGTTCGAGGTATAAAGTTCTATACACCTTCTCCAAACTTCTATTCTATCTTCACTGGATATAAATACGAACAAGTAGAATGGAAAGAAAATATTATAGAAGCTTGGTTAGACCATGTCAAAGAAATTATATGCAATGGAAACGAAAGAGTCTATGAGTATATCTTATGTTGGTTTGCAAACATCTTACAACATCCAAGTGCTAAAAATGAAACTGCTCTCATTATAATTGGAAAACAAGGAACAGGTAAGAACACTTTCTTTACAGATATTTATGCAAACTGTTAGAGGTATTCGAACCCTAATATGACAAACTTAGAAAACATCTGCGGTAAATTTAACTCTTCAATAGAGAATATGAAACTTATAGTTTAATGAACTTCAAAGTATAGATACAACAAAAGTTTTAAACTCAGATGCTTTGAAGAGTCTTATAACAGACAAAGTTGGAGTTGTTGAAAGAAAATATAAAGACCAAAGAGTTTGTGAAAATGTTGCAAATTTCATTATGGTTTCAAACAATGCTGTTCCGATGAAGTTAGAAAGTTCTGACAGAAGATATGTAGTTGTCAGAACGTCAGATTCTCATATGCAAGATACAGAATATTTTGACGACTTAGCAGAAACTTTGACATCTGACTTTTACAACCACTTGTTCTCATATTTTATGACATTAGATATTTCAAAGTTCAATCCAAGACAAATTCCACATACCGAAGAGAGACAAACATTGTTAGAAGCAAACAAGAGTGTATATGAACTGTTCATAGATGAAACTGACTTTGAGTGTTTAGATGAAAGGTCATTGTACGATTCGTATAAACAATATTGTCAAGAGTATGGTTATATGACAGCGTCTAAACGAACATTCTTGGCAAATGTCAAAAGTCTTTTAGACGTACAGAATGGTGTATATACAAAGAAAAATTTTTCTGAGTAAATTTTAAAAAAAATATTTTTTTATCCGATAGAAAAGATGGCAAAATTCATCTCAGTAAACAAGTACATGTCAGGACTTAAAGAAGAACTAGACCCATTCACATATTTGAATGTTTACTTCTACCATTTTGAAAAGTCTTCATTCAGCAAAGTTTGGAACATCGAACCAGTTAAGTTTGCTATTGTGACTAAAAATGGTGCGAAATTTGAAGACTTAGACATAGAAGGTTTGTTAGCAGTCAAAGAAAGTTTTGACAGAAGGTTCTCAAACTTAAAGAAGGCAAAGCATACAAACTTGTTATACCTTATGAACCAAAGAAAGCAGACGACTATGAATATTATGAGTCTAAAGTTGTAGAAGTTCAAGGTAAATTGGGTAAAAAGATTTTAGAGTCTAAGCCAGTGTTTGCTCCTAAAGAGGAAGAGAACATTGACATTGACCCAGAAATGTTCTAAAAATAAAATTTTATTTTTACATGTCAAATTTCTTTTCTCTGGCTCTGGTTCAGGTTCTTTCTTCTCTTCTTCTACTTTCTTTTCTTTCTTTTCTCTCTTCTTCTTTTCTGGTGGAGTTATGTCAAATTCTCAGAACCATATTTTGTAAAAGTTCTTTGTCCTTTAATAGCTCTTCTATTCTGTTTTCTATTTCATCTTCAAGAACAGCGCATGTGTCTTCTTTGCATTCTAAGAAGTTTTGTTGGACTTCATCTCTCCAAGAGGCGTCATCTCTGTCAACAAGTCTGTCATTGACAAATTTTAAGACTGCTCTGCTTAATGTTTTATGGTTCTTGTCATATTCCCAGAAACAGAACTTTAGAACAAATTCACCTTTCTTGTTTACACTATGTAAGATTTTATGGTCGACAGATGTTTTGCTGTCGAAAAGCTTGTCTCGAATATAGATAGCGAAATCGCTAGACATTTTCTAAAAGATAAAAATTTTAATTTTTCTAAAAATATGTTAGAAAAAAAGTTTGCTGACATTGACAAAAATTTGAGAATGTTTTAAAAGAACAAGAGGAAATTAGAAAATGCTCAGATAAAACCCATACATGACAAGTTCTTATTTGCTCAGAATGGTATAACAGGTCTAATTGCACCACCTGGGTCGGGTAAGACTTTCACTTATCTTAAAATGGCTGCACAACAACAAGAACTAGATGAGAAGAACCCATTCTATGAGTTAGTTGTTATTTGTAGTACTTCTGGTCAATTTGACCAAACCGTCAATTCGTTCAAAGATATTATAAAGAAGTCTAAGTTAGTATGTATAAAAGACTCTGAGTTGTTAGATTGGATAAAGAAGTACCAAAGAAGAGTTTTGAAGTACAATGCTATAAATGAGTATATAAATTCGAAGTTTAAAGACCCAAATGAGGAAATGCAGAGAATATTAGAGAAGAAACACTTCAGAAACAAACAGAAAGAGATAGAATACATTTCGAAGAAATTGCAATCTTACGATTGGAAGACTTACCCTCATAGATGTCTTCTTATCTTAGATGACTTTGCTTCTCATCCTTTGTTAAAGAATAGAGAACAAGATATGTGTCGAATTCTTAAGAAGCTCAGACACTTTAACATTTCAGTTGTCATTTGTGTACAGACAGCAAAGAGTTTAAGTAAGGATGTAAAGAGAATACTTACTGACATTGTACTTTTCCCCGGATTGTCCGAAGACGATTTCATGGAACTTATGAAAGAGTCCATGGCAGGTAAGTTTGACAGACATGAACTATGGGAGAAGTACAAAGTCATACAAGACCCTCATACTTCTTTCAGAATTCACATCTACGCAAACAAAGTTCAAATTGTAAAAAGTCAAGCGTAAAAATAAATGGTTCATTTACTCTGCTTGTTTGAAGTTGTCAAAATACTCTGTTATTTTTTCTGTCTTTACATACAAAATAAAAAAAATATTTTACAAAAAACTAACTTTATTTTTTCTATCTTGTATAAAAGATATGATTTCAGGGATTTTTTTGACGAAGTGTCAAAGTTCTCTTCGTAAAAAAATAACAGTTATATAATGAAATTTGGTCATTTTTTTACGATTTCAGGGATTTTTTTTTACGAAGTGCAAAAGTTCTCTTCGTAAAAAAATAACAGTTATATAATGAAAAAGTGTCATTTTTTCATGTCCGAAGACTCGAAGGTGCAACACTTCCAAAATACCGACGAACTCAGAAGAGCAGCATGGCAGTATCTTCTTGACAACTTCTTTGAGTTCTCCAGGTACACCTTGGAAAATGCTGAAGAACTCCGACACAGAGAATTTGGAGAAATTGCACTCCAATACTACCTTGACAAACAAAGGGTAAACAAAGGGCAAAATAAGACTAAAAACTTAACGTTTAAAAAGTGACATTTTTAATGAGCTCCGAGTCACCGAGAAAACTTGGTCAGATGTTAGCAGCTTACTTCCCTGAGGAGGATGGAAGCGTTACATACGTAAGGTTCAAAAACAACGAACCTGGAATTGCGTACCAAATTCGCAATTACATGACCATGGAAGAGTACGAAAGGCTCCTACAAGAGAAACCAGCTCTAAACTCAGAAAAGAAAGAATAAAAAGTTTAACTCGTAATTGTTTATTTTTTTTACTTGTATGGGCAAGCTGCAAGAATGAAGTCGACTATCTCAGTCTTTGTCTTGACGAGCTGGACGGCTCTTGCGAGTACGTCTGTTTTGCGGTCTCCAGCTGGTGTTTGACCTTCGTAATTGCGCATGTTCTTGAGAGCTCCAACTGTAATGATTGTAGGATGAAGAGTCTCTCAGACTGCTTGAGGTAGTCTTCACGGTCACGAACCGAATCTGTGGTACGAGTCGAATCGGTCGATTTGAGGGAAGAGACTGAAAGCCTGTCATCTTCCATTGGAGCTGTAGCATACTCTTTGCGTAAGCGGTTCAGACCTTCTTCGAAGTCTTGGTCTCTCTTCGATTGAGATTGGAATTGGAATTGCTGGGGTGGAGCTTGCTGGGGTGGAGCTTGCTGGAACATCCAAGGGTTGGGGAAGTAAGGCATAGGCTGAGGAGGAGGGTAGTTCGGGAAGCCTTGTGGTGGGTAGTAACATTGAGGTGGAAATTGGTAGTAATTTGGTGGAGGTACTTGCTGGAACTGAGGTGCAGGGGCTGGTGCTTTAGGTTCTGTAGCTTTCGGTACTTCTGGCTTTGGAATGGACTCGGTTGGTGGTACGTCAGTCATCCGTTTGTGTCCTGTCGGAAGGAAAATTTTTTCCTGTCGGATGGAAGGACTCGGAATGCCAGAAGGAAGAACTTTTCCTGTCGGAAGGAAAAATTTTTCCTGTCGGAAGGAAGAACTTTTCCTGAAGTTCGACCAAAAAGTTCTCAATTTTCGAAAATTTGAATGGTTTGCGGACGGACAACTGGAAAATTTTTTCCTGTCGGAAGGAAAAATTTTTCCCTTTGTCCGGAAAAATTTTTCCAGTTGTCGGGAAAATATTTTCCTGTCGGATGGAAGGACTCGGAATGCCAGAAGGATTTGACGAGGCAGTTTACCTTATAGAGATAAATGAAGTTGTTAAGCAGTACTTGCGCAAGGTAATGAAGCCCAAGGTCAAGTTCACCAGTATTTCTGGAAGGTCTACACTTCAGCTCGAGACTTCGACTGGAATTCCAATTCAAATACCAGACGGGACAGCCTACGATGCATAAAGGACGCCAAAAGAGAAGCTCTTGTTAAGTTCTTAAACAAACGTCCTTGGATAAAAATACCAAACAAGGAGAACCCCCTACCCCATATGAAATTGGCAATTCAGTCTCTCCTTCACTTCTCGGTCAGCCGTTCTACATAACCTGTGAAGGCGACATTCAGCCAGTTCTTCAGCCAGTTCAGTAAACATCTCATTTTAACTTCACTTTTTTTATGTTTTTACGCATGTGAAGAAGAAGCCTTCTGGTAAGTTTCTTATAGCCATATACATGGCACGCTTTGAGTAAAAACATTTTTTGAATGAAGCAAGTTAAATTCGTCCCACACCAATCTCAATGGACCGATGAAGAGTTTCAAGCTATGGTTGAAGACGTTGAGAACGACATAGACGGCGAACTTGAAGGAGCTCAAATCACAATTGCAACCAAAATTGCAGGAGTCAAGGAACAGATAGCTCCACTTAAAGCTACCAAAGCTACTCTTGACCTCATGGATAGTTACCGTTTAGATGTCAAGAGTGGAATAAGACAATTAAAATTAAAACTTCTAAACTACGAAGCTATACTCCAAAAGTTAGCAGAAATGAGAAGACTTTACCAGAGCTACTTACATGTAAGGGACTTACCTTCAAGCAGTCCGACCAAAGATGAATTTTCTGACATTGTCCCAATTTTGTCCGAAAGTCAGCTCAGATGTTTCGAACTGCTCCCAACATATCCGGAATATGAACGTTTGCCTGAACTCTTCCACAATCTCAAAAAACGTTTTTTGGTTCTCATGTTCCAAACTTTTATCGGAAGAGACAACAAACGTTCAGAAGAAGAACAAGATATTATTTTAAACTTGTTGTATGACTTAACCGTCATAACAAGCTTTTTGAAGTAAAACCGTCATTCTCAAACCACTTCATTTTTTCGATGTCCGAACAAGCACCGAAGCCAAACTCAATGGCAGATGTCCTTTCAAGGTTGTCAGACAAGCGCCCAGTTCAAATTCAAATTGCCCAATTGAACGCTCATCTGTCAAACACCATTAAGACTCTCCAAAGTAGTCTTATGGAAGAGATAACCAATCTCAAAGTCGAAGTCCTCACGAACCAAGCTTCCAATAAGAAAGTCCTGAACGATTTCGCGGAAACCTTGCGCCAATACAACATAGAGAACCAAAACCTTGCCCAACTCATCTACCGTTTCTTCGAAGAGATTGACACCATCTGGGCGGCACTCGGAAAGGACAGAACCTCCAACACCGTAATTCGTGAGTACCAAATTCAAGAAGGAATTTTCGAGGAAGAAGAGGAAGAAGAGGAAGAAGAGGAAGAAGAGAAACACAAAGAAGAGGAAGTTTGGGCAACCCTTGTTGCCGATGACGCTTATGAAATTCCCAACCCTACCCATACAAAATCCGCAACAAGGAGACCGGCAAGGTTCTTACCCCAGTCCTCAACAACTTGGGACACTTGAACCTTACCCTTCGAAATTACGGTTCAATTTCCATGGGAAGGCTTGTCGGTATGCAATGGGTTCCAAATCCAGACAAGAAGACGAGGGTCAGACACATTGACGGTGACAAGCTCAACAACCGTAAGGAGAACCTCGAGTGGTTCTAAGAGTAAAAAAATTTATTTTAGGGGGAAACCCGAGTAAATTTAGGTGTTTAGTTCATTAAGTAGGTTAAATTAAGGGTAATTTGGACAATTAGCTCCCGACCTCTGAATTGGGCTCTTTCGTTATCTTCCCAGTTGCGTAGGAGGTCGTCCCAGAGGAGTTGGTAGAATTGCCAATCCAAGGACGATTTGTCCTCCCAAGCATTGAGGATGTACTGCTCGTAGAGTCTCATGACCTCTCCCTTGCACCAGACACCCTCTCCCTTGGAACGTAAGGCTTCTTTGAGGTGCTCGAATGCGATTGGCTGCTTGACCATCCGAAATGACACTTTTTGTCCGTTTGGTCAATGTTCGTGTCTCGTGCCATAGTCGACGAAAATACAGACAAACAGGTTATATATGAGTTTGAGACCAAGAATGGTGTAACTCGACCTGTCCGATTCAAAGACTCCGAGGGCGACCATGAAATTAAACGGAAATTAGCTAGGAAGGAATATAAAATGGACTGGTTGCCACCACCTCCACCTCCACCACCTTTACCTGTTCCTCAAGTAAATAAGCCTTTCCCGTTCCCAAGAATTCCCACATTTTAATTCAAATTCGAATAAAAATTTTTTATTTCATGCAATGTTTAACTATTTCACCATCTTCTTTAACACCCCAGTACTTACGCTTGGAGAGGACATGAACTTCGGTGAAAATTTTGTCCAATTTGAATTGACCCATCTTTCACCGACCATTCCCATTTCAATGAGTTTGTTGTATCCTTCTTCGTTCGTCATGAGTGCGTCAATGTTCTCATAGTAAACCTTGACTTTCGATTTGACTTCCGAGAAGAACTCATTGTAGTTGTCAAGGACTGCCTTTGCGAACTGAGGGTAAGACCAATGTTCGACAATAGGTTTTAATGTGGTTACTAAGCCACTTTGACCTTGAGTGAATTCGTACTTCAAAACAAAAGGAGAAAACCTTTCAACAAAGTTGTCGACCTTCTCATAATGTTTACTCTTCATCTCTTGAGGTTTCTTAATGGAATATCCCCATGTCGAATTCATAAGCAATTTGAGTGTCATTGCAAGTTTGGGGTTTGAAGCTTTCCTAATATCATACAGTTGTTGTATGACTTTTCCAACTGTATAGTTCCTTCCCGGGAACTCACCATCTTCGTTTGGAATTCCAGTCGAATATATTGGACAAACCTCATGTACGCAGCGTTAAGGTCGACATAGTATATTTTTTCATTGAGTCGAACTTGTCGCAACCAATTGGTCCAGTTTGTGGAAATTCAAGTGAGTCTCTTATCTTCTGAGAAACTTCTCCTGTTATCTCATAAACATCGTCGAAGCAACCTGTTTCATATAAAACCTTCTGACCTAACTCAGATGCTCTCCAATACAATTTGACGTCAATTGGATGTCTCAATGGAAGTTTGTTTATAGCATCTTGAAGTTCTTGCAACCTCATTGGAAGTTCTTCTGGTTCAGGTTGGTATCCGAACAATCCAACTCCTTGTGGAATTGTGTACTTCTTTTGTACTAGAACTTTGTCTGGAACAACTTTTGGTCTTGCTAACAGTGAAAAGTTTGTTTCGTCTTTTGGTACAAAAGTTTCTGTCAGCTTGTCATCTGGAATTGGTTCCAACAAACCTTTCTCGAAAAGAATGTTTACAGCTCTGACAATGTTGCACTTGCCTTTTCCGAACAATGGGTTTGTAAGACTTTCGTTCAACATGAAGTGGTTGTGGACAATTACAATCTTCAACCATGGTAAATTGAACTCAACAACATAGTCGTCATGTGAAGAACCTTTAGCTGTAGGTATGTTGACTCGGATATTGACATTTGCCAACGGTGCAATTTTTGCCAATTGACCTCTGAGAATGTACCTTGTCTTCACACATGACTCAAGATACTTCATCTTCTCATCTGTAACAAGACCAGAGTTCCTGAGACATGTAAGAATGCAAGGTTCGTTGACAATTGTTTCAATTGAATTGTAAATTCCATACCTTGTCAAGTCAATGTCAGACTTATTTATGAAGGGGAAGTATCCAGCATGTTGTCTGACTGCTTGAGGGTTAGGTTGGTACCATTCGAACTTGACACTTGCAATTCCTTCAATTGCATTCAAAATGTCTGAGTCGAGTCAACCATTTGTTCTCTCTTTGTAGTCTTGAAAGCGTCAAGAAGTTTTGCGGCTGTTTGTTCATTGCCATGTGCATAGTAAATGTGACCATCCAAATCTGTTATGGTCAATCTGAGATTGTGTCCTTTCTTATTTCCGTCTTGTATGGCAGCAAGTACTCCCATGAAGCCTTCTTTGTTCTTTCCTTCGTCAAAGTTTACTGTAAAGGTTCGACCAGATGTAATTTGACTTCTAACTTCACGGTACTTTTCATATGCATATCTTGTTCTTTCCATGGGAGCATGTGTCTCACCTTTTCCTTTTTTCCTTCTCAAAGGATGCAATTGTTCGTCATGTTTCCAGTAGAATCTGGCAAAGCCGTCGTGTCCTTCAACTTGAGGTTCACTAACATCGAAAGGCATGTCCATAAGACGTTCTTCTTCTAACCTCTCTAGTCTGTTTGGATAATTTGCACGTGCTGTTTCCAAATCCATTTCGTAGCGAAGACCAGACAATTTGTCATAGACTTTTATGGGTCTTCCCTTCCTATATTTAAACTTCTTCGAAACTCTCCAACCATATCTTTGCAACTCTGCTTTTATTCTAGCAGATTTTCTATCCATTCTATATGGGGGCATTTTTATAAAAATAAAAAATATTTTTTCTTTACTTTACATAACCGCCTGCTGCCATAAGTCTTTGACGCCAACCCATACCAGCTAATGAAGGTTGACTTGGTTTAGTTTGGAAACTAAACTTTGGTTTTGGTTTATCTTCAGTTTTTGGTTTTTCTTCTTCTATCGGTTTTTCGTCACTTTTCGGTTCCTCTGACTTTACTTCACTTGCAGGAACAGTTGTGTCGTCAACATCTTCATAAATATCATATGCCATTTGTTTTTGTTTTCCTTTCAACTTTTTGTGTTTGTTGTAAAGTTTAGAATATTTCGACTCTAAGTCAATGAGATGTTCTATAATGAACTGTTGGTCAGTGAAGTAAACTTTTCCATCTGTTGTCTCGAAAGCTCCTTCAGACTTCAATATTTTATTTGTGAGAGTCTGTTTCTTTTTGAGATACTAGCCGTTCCATTTTTATGAAAAGTGACTTTATAGTTAGGGTTTGTATTTCCAGACCTGGCACTTTCTATTATTGAATTTTTCTCTTCATCTGTAAGTTCTTTGACAGGTTTTGACAATGGTTCTGAACTTTTTGTTTGTGGTGTCAAATCTACCGTTTCAACTTCTTCGGTCATTTCATCTCAGTAAAAATTTTAGTTTGGTTTGTTTTCAACTGGTTGTTTAGTTTTTAAGTCGGTCTAAAACTTCCTGAGGTATAGGAAGAACTTGACAAACACGTTGTGTAACTGCTGGAAGCCGACAAATCCATCTTGAACCCATTTGTCTCAATGCTGTATTGTTCATTTCATCTCAGTAAAAAAACTTTACATTCCCCAAGTTTGAGGTGGTTGCGGTTGGTTATTGTTTACCCATGTTGTGCATGGTTATATCCTCTGTTAAAGAATCTTTCACCTTGGTCCATATAGTGTCCTGCTTGGTTATAGTAGTCATTTGCTTTGTTATAATAGTTTCCTGCTTGTCTTCCTACATTGTCCATCCATCCTTGAACTTTTCCTCTTGTTTCAGGATTTGGAATAAGATTTGTTGCATCTCGTGCTACATCCCAACCTTTCTGTACAGTTTGTATAATAGGTTGTGCTTTCTCTTTAAGTATACCTAATGTACTCAAAATCTTCCTTCCAACTCCAAATACACCTCTGGCTATTGTTCCCACTGCGGGCAAAAATCTGGATGCAACTCCTGCTAACGCGCCAAATAAACCCATTTCTTATGGGTTAAAAAATGACGAATCCAAACAAGGACCCTATGTTTCTAAAGCGACAAAGAAAGCACTCATGGTAAAAATCTTTAGTTCAACACCAAATGCTTGGTTTATGGATATCTTGGAAAACATTCCGAGAGTAGAGAAGATGGACCACCATACTGGCTAATATTTGTCGGTCAAAACACAAGATACTGTGAAGCCATACCATTATGTCCAAAAATATTTTAGATGTGAAAACTGCTTTGACAATATTTCGTTGACAAATACCATCCAACAAAACTGACATCTGACTGTGAAAGTTCTTTCAAATCAGATGATGTAAAAAACTATCTGCGTTCAAAAAATGTAAACCAATATTTCATTGTCGACCAAAACCATTCTGCTCTTGGTGTCATTGACGGTTGTATAAAAATGTTAAGAGACTTAAACCAACCACAAGGTGGTGAAGCAAATGAAATGTCATATGACGACAAATATAGACACTTCTCCATGGCAAAGATGAGACAAGTTTTAAATATTTACAATAGCCGTAAACAAAAAGGTTTGGGAAACCACTCCCCGAAGAAATGAAAAACAACCCTGACTTAGAGAAAGACTATATATTTAATAATTTAGTCAAAAGAGACAAACAAGAAAGAATGCCGGGCTTCAAACTTCAGAAAGGTGACAAAGTAAAAATAGAAATACCTAAACGCGACCCATATGAAAATATACTATTGACTATGACAACAATGGGAACCGACAGGTACTCACATTCGTGTTCGTAAAAATAGAAGAAAGTATACAAGAGAATATTATGAAGTTTTAGGCAAACATGGCAAAATGTACACACTGCAAGCAGAAGATAAAACTACTATTGCCAGACCTCGTTTCAAACTTGTCAAAGTTCAAGGTGGTATACTTTCAAAGACAGTTCCTAACAAATATAAGACAACTCCTGACGAATATGCTAAAGAAGTTGAAAATGACGACTAAGCAATTCTATACCATGCGTAAACTGTCATGTAAGGTGGCATGTAGTCTTTACTTTGTCCCGTTGTTTGCGTATATCCTGAAACGAAATGTGTATGGTTTCCTTCTCCCTGAGTGTCACTCCAGTAACAATTTATAGCAAACTTAACGTCGTCTTTAACATCATATCCTTTACCTTTTGTCATTCCTGACCAATCCCAATATCTATGCTTATGCCAACCTGCTTGAGATGTACTTAAATCTATGTAGTGACTGTGTGCAGGTAAATTTTCACCTGAAATCGTTTTACTTCCACCTGTTTCCTTTGAAGAGTTTGCACAATACAAAAACCTGTCGACTATTTGTTCCCATGCACCAACACCAAACATTACTTGAGGACCTCTTGCTTCCATAGATGTATAAATAGAACCTACTGGGTTCATTAAATCAAACATATGAGACATTACATAGGATTGTCTCTTTTGAACTTAAAATATAGTGCAACTATTTCAGGTTTCTTCTGGTTTAAGTCAGAATATTTTTTATAATATAATCTTATGTTTTCAGGGTAGGTAAAATCTTGACTATAATATTTATTTCTGTCATCTTCATAATAGTATACTATTCTCGTTTTTTCTATTGCATTATATCTTTTATATCTATAAAAATCTAAATATAATGTTAGCTTTTGTTCATCTACATGTGGTGTTCTGTTGTCATCTCCATAGTCATAATAGTATGGTGCTGGAGCTGGGTCAGGCAATGTCATATCTGTCATTTCATAAACTCGGAAATATTTCTTTTGTTCGTCTCCATATAAGTTTAAGTAGCAGTTGTTGTCTAATGGAACTTTAACTTGTGTACCATCGTTCTTTTTATAGCTTACATACATTTCATTGTTATTTTTCGGAATGAGTTTATACCGTATACCATTTTTTAAGGAATGTACAAACTGCCATCTAAAATATTTGTTTTCTTCATTGAAAGAAAAGTCACCAACAATAGTTTCAATATTTTTTGTTCCAACTAAACTTTGGTATATTTCATTGACATATGTTTTATCTGCTTTCTTTTCAAGGCTAACGTTTAAGTCTGTTATTTCAGAAGATGTATGTGTATGTCCAACGGCACTTTTACTGTTTAAGGTTTCTTGTAAGTTTGCAATATTTGCAATGGTATGTGTATGTCCAACGTCACTTTTACTGTTTAAGGTTTCTTGTAAGTTTGCAATATTTGCAATGGTATGTGTATGTCCAACGTCACTTTTACTGTTTAAGGTTTCTTGTAAGTTTGCAATATTTGCAATGGTATGTGTATGTCCAACGTCACTTTTCCTGTTTAAGGTTTCTTGTAAGTTTGCAATATTTGCAATGGTATGTGTATGAGTCTTTTTAGAATATTCGTTTTCAGCTCTTGTCACTTCACTTGACATTTTATTGTCAACATATGTTTTGTCTGCTAGTTCAGGATGAGTATGTTCTTTTGTTGCATAAGCTTTGTTAGCTCTTTCTTCTTCTTTTGCTATTGCATCGTCTACATATTCTTTGTCAGCTTTGTTGCCAACATCTGCTTTCAAAAGAAGTTCAGATATAGGTTTCTCGTTTAAAGTTCCTTTTGTTGGATTTATACAGACAGTATGGTTCTTATTGTCTTGAAATAGAAACTCATCTGTCATTGGGTTTAATGTCAGTTTTAAGTTTCCTTCTTTCAATGACTCAGATATCTTAGAATAGTTTGAAAAGTTTGTTGTGTTCTTATTTAGAGCTTGTATAATGAGTTGTCGGTTGTGTTGTATTTCTCTCATAGACGCTGTTTCATTTGACATTTTTATTCTAGATAAAATATGCTTTCAATAGAAAAAGAAAATTCAAGAGTTGCTACAACTAAACCATTAGATGAACTTTTTACGAATGTCGGTCAAAAGTTTGAGACAGAGACCGTAAAGCATGAAGGCTATCGTTTTGACTACCCGTTAAGATGGTTAAGAGACCCATCTGTCACAAAAGCTATTGGCTTTCGTAGAATGAAGTTCATTTCAGAAGCCATACATGGTTTCCCATTTACAGTCGGTTTTGAAGTTCGATACTATAACAAAGAAAAACGTATGTATGAGAAATTTGAACAGGGAAAACTTTTACAAGTGAATTTGCTTGTAAACTTAGAAACAACTCTTCAAGCTTTTCAAGAAAAAATAAACGACATCTATATCGAATATGCAAACCAGTATAACATTGACGAGGGAGAGTACCATCTCGATATTATATATGACAGGAAAAATGCAACTGTTAAAATCAATAGAATAGAAGACCTTGGAGAAAACGTTTATATTTCTACAAAATATAACAACTTGGCATGGTATAGATTTCTGAGGATGTTAAATCAGCCTGCAGAATATCCAGTACACCCGGACTTTTATGAAGTCGAAAAACCTAATGGAACATATGAAAATATTTTCGACCCAGATGCTATTATAGTTCATGCTTCATTTTCTGGTGCACAAAACTCTTTCTTATGTCTGATGAATGACTTTTACGAAAAACCTACAAAGTTATATGAACCACCAAGTGGAAGTATTTCAGACTTTCAAGTATGGTTTACTACAGATGGAAGAAAAAGAATAATTCCATTATACCATGCGTTTTACTTAGAACTTAGTTTCATATACAACTACTATCGAACGGTAAAAATATAATTTTTTAATACGGTTGAGGTGTTGGATTTGGTTGCCAACTAGACTGTGGTGCAGGTTCAGGCTGTTGTATAACAGGGCTTGTTCTTCTGGTTCAGGGTCTTTAGGTATAATACCAACGAACTGACCTACTCTTTTACCAATATTTTTGACTCCGTTCCAAATTCCTTTTCCTACGGTTTTTATTCCATTCCATATACCTCTTCCAACTCTTCTGAAGAAGTTTCCAATACTACTGAAGAAACCCATTTTACTATATGTAAAAATCTAATGTCCGCCTAGTCTCTTACGTTTCCTGTTGAGTTCCATAGCATTCTTTAACTGGAGCTCATACATTCTGTTTCTCCTCTGGTAGAAAACATATTCTGGGTCAACTCCTGTGTTCGCGTCATCTGCATAAAGTTGTTTATATCCGACTTCAGGGTTTGTATAAAACTCTTTCCATCTCATATTTGCATACCATGGTGGCAAACCTAACGCAGCGTCATTTGACATGGCAGTTTGCATTTGTACATCTGTTGGCACTTGACCATAGTTTGCCATTGCAGTTTGTATTCTAACTTCATTTGGAATATTCTCTGGGTTTGGTTGTCCAGGTTGCTGTGCATTTGCTAAGTTCTGTGCGTCCATTTAATATTAAAAATATCTCTTACGAGTACATATACTGGACATTTGCAGGCATTGGTTCATCTTCATATTCTCTATATCTTTCTGCCACGTCAAATAAATAAATGACACAATGGAAAAAACCTAAAACAAGTAGTCCTATTTCAAACCACATTTACTTACTAGTAAAATTTCTTTGTTATGACACTTTCTCCGGTTTATAGGACCTCTCTCATATTCTATCTTGTCATATCTAAACTCATAGTCATGTATGTCCTCTAACCATCTCATAACGGTTTCCAAACCACTTTTATCGGATGTAAAGTAAAAGCATGGACAGTTATGTAAAACGTCTAAAGTTTCTAAAGAGTCTCTCAAAGTCCAGTCTACTTGGTATTGAAAATCCCATGTGTTATAGAACGGCGGGTCCACTATAAAGAAAACATTTTCCTTGTCTTTATATTTTTCATACAACTCTGTCCAATGACATCTCACAAACTCTATACCCTCAATATATTTTTCTATGTCCTCTTTGAAAACATTTGTATAGTTAAGATATAAAACGTTTGACATAAGTGTTTCAATGTCATGAACTCTTATAGCACCACTATATAATAGTCTAGCAGAATATACTATCCCAGTCTATATATTCTGCTTTTTTCAAAACCTCTCTCACAATATTTTTCTTATCTAATGGTATACGTTCCATCTTACCTATAGGTATCTTTTCTTTTAACGCTTTCAATATATTGTTTGTGTCTGGTATATGTTTGAGACGGTCCATATAGTTGTCGAAGTCATTGCATATAATCTTTGAGTCTGGGAATATTGTATGGCACAAATGGGATATATAGAAACTTCCACCGAACAAATCTACAAATGTTAGACCATTCGGTAGTTTCTTAAGTTCTCTCAATATAATATCTTTACATTTACTCTTATTTCCAAAGAACGGTAACGGTGGTTTTGTAAAATTCATTTATATATAATAATAAAAATGTTTTTTCCTGAAAAGTGGCAGAAAAGTGACAAAACATGAAAACATATATAATTTGTGAAAAGCGACACATTATATAATGTTTTCGACCCAGAAGAAGGCTTCTCAAAGTATACTTCCTTGGAACGCCTGTAACTTTTCCTGTAGCGACGATAGACCCTTACTTGTCCGGACAAAGTTATACTAAACATCTTCAGGGCTAGAAGGGGCGCAGCCCCTGGAAGCCCCACACACCTGACCTAAATCGTCGAAATTCTTCTTTCACATGGTGCAGATGTCAATATCAGAGATAAAAATGAGCAAACACCTCTTCAAATAGCCACATGGCATTGTTATGGTGGTATTGCTAATGTTCTCAAATTGCATGGTTGTAAAATTACTCGAGGGTGGTGAAATTAATTAATAACTTACTTAAATAATCAGTCTTTTTTCTCTCTAATGCATAATAACCCACGATAATTCGGATATCCACTGATCAGAGGTATGTTTCTTTTATTTACGGTTTGTTAAGGAGTAAAGTGTTTCTCTTGATTGATTTGTTAGAGTAGGCATTTCTCCAATTTTATTGTATAATATTGAGTATCATTGTCAAATGGGAATATCATTCCATAATAACGTTGTCAATTTTGCCGGGTTAAATATTGTTAACTTCTTTACGTTCTTTTTATTAAGCCATAAATACAGATGTGAAATATGAATATTATGAAATTGCTTCGTTTCAAAGCATATGTTAAAATTTTGGGAAAATTATCTTAAAATATGAATGTCTATAAGTTCATAATATGATTATTATGTCATTTAAAATCAAATGTAAGCTTTTTGATTCACTCTTTTCAATGAGGGAATCAGCATATTCAGCTTTTCTACAAAATAAAAGATGTCAAAGTCGAATAATTGATGAAAGTGTTACCGAGAGATCAAAAACTGTCCGTTCTGCTCGAGATAATGAATCAAAATCTCAGCTTGATTCAAAATTAGAAGAAATTCTCAATAAGAATGCAGAGCTTGAGCGTGAATTCCAGAATAGCCGTGTTATTCCACGTAATTCCAAAAAGCCACAAGAAATTATTGAATATCATGATTTTTTAACGAAATTTTCTGATACATCAAAGTACACTGAGTACAGGTTCCGTGAACTTTTGAATAGAACAGAATCAACTCATGAAACATTAGAAAATCAAAATGAAAATTTGTTGGACGTCCAGCGAGCAGCCTATCGCTCAGAGATGGGATTAGACGAAAAATTTAATATGGGTAAGAAGAATTAATTGAATCACTAATTTTAACAACAATTTTTCAAATTTATTAATTGAAGAAACAAATCATTGACAGTTCTACAATGTCATTCTAACTTCTACAGAGTATTTTAGACTTTTTATTGATTGACAAAAAAAAATGCAAATAATATAATCTTTACAAACATAAAATACAATTAACATATTACACAAAGAGTTGTCTTCATGTTATTTCTTGAAAACTGCGCAATCATGTTAAAGAAGCTTTATCTTTTTAAAATTTTATAAAAACTCTTTTGATTGTTTTGTTTCATAATATGGCTTTAATGTATTACTTATGTACTTCTGGTTAACTGAATTCTAAACATTACTGTTTAAATCAACGTGAATGATTTTTATTACTCTTCTCTATCATAATACTTGGTGGTCTATAATAATTCTAATGAATTGATTAGCTAATAGGAAATATTATGTGTTGGAATTGGAAGGTTGTTGAAATAAATTTCCGATTATCAACATTAGTTTGAACTTTGGAACTAAATTTCATTGATAATCATATAGATCAATATAATTATAAGGAATTGAATAGATAAATTCGCATTAATTAAGAACATATTGATTGATTGCATCAATAAGTATATTTCTTATTTCAAGTCTTGATGTGCTAACAATGTCTTGGTTAACCTGAAGAGGATCTTGTCCTGTTACGATGCATTCAGCAAATTTCAACAAGAAAACCCCGCAGTCACTTGAATTTTGTTGTCTTGAAACTTTAATTCGTTGTCCTTGCCATGTAAATTTGGTATTTTCTTGCAAGAAGAACGAAAGATATTTAATACATCTTGGTAAAGGCCGGTTTAAAGAATCGTAAACTCTGATTATATGATCCTGCCAGCATACAACAAGAAGTATCCAATGTGCTCGTGTTGCATATGGAATTAAAAAGTAATTATATTTTCCTTCTAATAAATTTGGTATTCCTTCCCATGTTTTCATTCTTGTATAGTTTTCTTTATCTAAGAACTTTCCAAAGTAGGTATTTGTAGCTCCAATTGGATAACTAGAATTATTAATTAAATATTTCAAGTATGCATCAATTACTATATCAGTAAGCCATTCATGCTTTTGAAGACAGTCTAAATCATTCACTTTTAGCTGAATTCTTATTTTTGCATTTTTTTCTGTTTTCTCATAATAAGCAGGTTTTGATACCTCTAGTTTAACTGGTGCCGTTCTCTTTGGAACTCTAGTGTATATTTTGTTGGAGTAAAAGGATTCTGGTGGAATCATTCACTCTAAACGTATTTTGACACTCTTAGCTTTACATGACAAAAATGTTTGTAAAAATGTGGATAAAAAATTTTCGCAACATTTTTTTAATTCGGGGACAATTCGAAAATACTAATAAATCTTTTATATTTCGAATTTTGAGTAAAAAAGGTTATGCCTCAAAATATCGACAAATTTGTCAAAAAAATAAATCATGCTTTCGCGTGAAGGAATTCCCTTAATCATGTCAAGTATAATGCTTGCTTACTCCCTTTTAAGACTGATAATTACCATGTTCAAGAAATGGAAACAGTCAATTTGCAAATATTGGAGCAGATTTGGTTTTAGATTAATGTTTTTTGTTTATTCTATTTTATACGTGCTTACAACCATTCCAAGTCTTAGCAGTATCATCATAATCGGTTATATCTTCCGCTGCATTCTTCCGATTTCGCTAGGTTTCTTGGTTATCTCTATTCAAGACTTCGTTTGCTATTCAAACCGTGATCCTACATTTATCAAGCGTCAATGGATATGGCTTGATATTCCATTTATTGTTGGAATGATTGAATGTCAAGTTTTATATTATCAATCGAATACTTTCTTAGATACAGTCGTAGCAATCGCAACACGTATAGCTTATGAAGTCTTACTAGATCTCTTTATTATTTTACTTATTATTGCACCTTCTCTCTTTTTCTTGAATGAAATCAGAAGAAATGACTTTTCAGGCTCGTTGCAATGCAAAATATTATTGGCATTCATTTTCTTCGTCCTTGATGTTATTTCACTCTTAGTTTGCTTTGCATTCGAAGTCAGAATGATTATTGAAAAGTCTTCCTCAACACAGCGTGTTTCCATACTTTTAATGAAGTCATTCAGAGATCCCGTTATGATCATGGTTTGTTTTACTCAAGATATGGTCGATTGGATGCTTCAATGGATTTATCTGGATGAAGATGCAATTTTGAAGCAAGATGAAGGCGTCAAAAATCATAGCCCAGATGAGGTTCTTGAAATTGAACTTGTTGGTGCCGATATATAATTATATTTTTCTAATTGTTTTGTGTTATTATAATAAATTGTTCTTTTCTGTCAATATCTTTGATTTTACTTATAAATGCTCGTTTTTTGCTAAATAATAAACAAAATTTTTCTGGATTTATTGAATTAAGGCATTAATATTTATCTGTAATTGTTAACAATAATGAAATATATTCAAATATTATCTTCTCTCTGATCTTTGTTGCAATTACCTATGTGAAGTATTTTCGAGTATACACCAAACTCATTTTCCTATGTAAATTCACTTATTTTGTGCTCTTCTCCTTAATGTTGAGTAAAGCCTTCTTAAAAAAAAAGTTTGAATAAAAGACTTGACAAAGGAAATTAAGCTTAATGTGAATATGAATTAAAAAGGGTTGATAACAGAAAGTATTGTTTTTTATTAATATCATTTAAATGAAGAAACAAAAAAATAAATAAAAATATAATATAAATTATTTGGCCTTTTCACCCTTTGGACTCGATTGTTTTGCTTTCTTTGCCTGTGGAATTGATTTCTGAGCAATTTTAATCTTAACTTCGTTAATTTGATCGAGAAGTTTCTTTTCTTCTAGTTCGTACTGTGCCTTTTGCTCTTCGTTATCCTTCTTCATAGCAAATTCGTCTGTATGGAACTGTTCTACGATTCTATTTAGTGCGATTCTCTTTCTATTGACTTCCTTCTCGAGTTTGGCGTTTTCCATAAGTAGATTAGTCATTTTTTCATGGGATTGCTTGCGAGCTTCATCATTTTGAGCTTTTGCCTGTGAAATTTTTTCATTTAATTGGGCAACGGATTCTGAAGGTATTTCGACAGTATTAAGCTTATTGGACCATTTCTTAATAAGAGGAGCGAATTTCTCAAAGGCTGCGACCTTCTTTGTAACAGTTTTTTCGAGAGATTGAACTTTTGACTTTTTCTCTGAAATTTCTTGGTTTAATTTTTGTAAATCTTCTCTAAGCTGCTGACGTTCATTCATCCAGTTCACAGAAGAGTTTTGTTCTGTAGTTTGCCTATTTGCGGCTTCTTTGCTCTCTTGGCGGAGCCTTGTATCCTCATCCATGTGATTCTTGAGGCTATCGATGGTTTCCATAAGGGAGTTATACTGATTCTGTAGAGAGATAATTGTTTTTTCTAAATCTAGCCTTCCACCGGAAAGAGTTGTGTTGCTAATGAAGCGGTCTTTAAGAGCAGCTAATGCTTGCTCGGCCTCGCGCTTTGTCTGGTTGATAATGCGAACTTCATTATTTCTCTCATTTAACTGATCATTTAGCCAGGCCATTTTAGATTGAAGATAGTTGCTGTGTTGTTCATGAGTACGAAGATCTGCTTTCAGCTGAATGACGGTGTTATTTGCGTTGCTGACGCCCATCAAAGTGTCAAAGAGTTGTGTTTCGAGAACTTGCTGCTCTTGGGCAATTTCCTGGGTTGTGTGTTTCAGCTGACGTATGTTGCTTTTCTTCTTTGTAATAATTTCAATATGTTCATCATTTAAGACTACAGGTATTTCAGGAGGTGTTTCATTAAGGGATCTAGCGGATATGCTTGTTACTTCAATAGATTCGAAGAGTCTGTTCGCATTAGTAAAATTAGTAATATCATTTTGAATTTCCGATATTTCTATGTTTAAATTTTTAATTTCATTGATAACACCTTGGATCTCATTATTGACAGAGTTGAATCGCTCTTTCTTCTCCGAAATTTCTTGGAGCAGTTCCTCTGAAGTCGTCATCTTCTATTTTTTCAAATGTAAAAAGCCGCTACATTTCAGAATAAATTTTATACATTTTTGCAAAATTGCTATTTTTGAAGCCGAATTATGCCCGAAATTTATTTCCTCATAAGCATTCTTTTTATTTGGATATTTGCATAGAATTGAATGCAGAAAGATCTTTTTCGGCAAACCCAAATTTTAGCTAAAAGTGACAGGGGAAAAAACGTTTAGTATTAAAAAAAAAGACCGATGAGAGCTTCATTCGAAATATAGAGGGAACTGAGAATGCGCAACCATTCTCAGGGAATATTGGATGCTATTCCCGTTCCCTCTGTATGGAAAATTGAGGTTTTCAAAGGGAGTTAAAATAATATCAAATTTATACTAATTTACTTCAAAATACAAAAGTATTTGACAGCTAAAATTAGTTACTTTAGCAAGCCTATCAATACCCTTTTACGATTATTGTTACTTTTTCGAAATAAAAGTAAAAACAAATTTATACTAATTTACTTCAAAATACAAAAGTATTTGACAGCTAAAATTAGTTACTTTAGCAAGCCTATCAATACCCTTTTACGATTATTGTTACTTTTTCGAAATAAAAGTAAAAACAAATTTATACTAATTTACTTCAAAATACAAAAGTAATTGACAGCTAAAATTAGTTACTTTAGCAAGCCTATCAATACCCTTTTACGATTATTGCTACTTTTTCGAAATAAAATAAATTTATTATCAAAAACCTTTTTTTTCTTAGTAAAAATAAACGAAATTTTTTACCTTATGAACTTTTGATGGAAATATGCAAATTTAAAATAATAAAGAAAGCCGCGAGCGAAGCGATCGGCTTAGTTCGAAGATTTTGATTCAAATCTTTGCTGATCTGTAATTCGCGGAAGCCGCGAGCGAATCGAGCGGCTTAGGTCTAAGATTTTGATTCAAATCTTTGCTTATATTCCTTAAATTCTTTATGAAACTCGCAACAGTTCCATAAAAAATTTTAAATTCTAAACTGTCGCAATTACCGATCGGTAATCACACCCTTCACGGGTGTGTCACTTTTAGCTAAAATTACCCCTACTCGATCTTTTTCAGTGTCACAGTTTGAAACATATGGCATCAATCGATCTCTTAAACGAATACATTATAGGATTGTCATGGTTTTATTTGCTTTATCTTTCCCAATTATAACAATAAGCATGTTAATTTAGAAAAGTCTTAACATTACATAATGCATGCTTATTGCAAGGTTTTCTCTGATTATACTTTTGATTTGAATCAATTCCACATCAATTATTTATTTCAATAGTTAAATTGTTATTAATTAGATAGTACAAAAGCATACTTTTCATTTTAACTATGTCTTGACACATGATTCTCGCACTCAATAAAGACTACATTTGAATTTCGGGATTTAAAGCAATAACGAACAATATTTATTCTGAAAAATCATACTATTCTTCATTCAAATAGTGGATGGCATATATAAGCAAATTTCTTGAAAAATAATTGAGATTTACGGGTATTTTCCTTAACTAAATGTGAAAATTGCAGCTCTATGTAATCTTTAATATAATTATCAACTTTGAAATCTAAACAGTGGTTGGCAGTATTAAAAGTGACATTTCATCATCTTCTGAAAAAATGACATCTGATAATTTACCTCTTAAATGAGTGATATCTATAATAATTCATTTTAAATTTCTGAGCTTAGAAAATTTGAATCCGCCGATGAAAAATGAATTCTCAATCACTATTTTCCTGGCATGATTGAACTTTCCAAGCTCAATCCTATGAAGAACTGGGGGCTCAACAGAGTTTTAGGTTACTGTGTTGCTGGTGACGTGGGTGCTTCTGGCATTCGTATTCGCCTTTCCAATCCGGCCAATTCAACCGAAATAATTGATATTCCCCATCAAAAAGCAAAGAATGCGCAAATGCTCTTGGATGCACTTAACAATACACTGAGTGTTATCCAAAAAGCTGTTCCAAAAGCAAAATGTTTTGGTTCATCAATTGCAATCACAGGACTTAGAAAGGGTGATGACATTATTCCAAGTAATTGGGCTCCTCCGGATGAAGTTAGAACAATCAGAACGAGACTCTTCCCAGAAGGAATGTATCCAAAGGAACATCATGTCCTCTTAAACGATCTTGAAGCATGTGCTTATGGTGTTCTTGCAATGGATGAGCAAGGCAAATGCTCGCAATACTTCAGAAAGCTTTGGGGACCAGGAAAAAGCATTGTCGGAAAACATAGAACTGCAGTTATGGCGTTAGGTTCTGGTCTCGGTGCTGCATTGATTCTCAAGGAGCCATTCAATGACAAGCCTTTCGTTTTGGCTACTGAATTCGGTTATCTTCAAATGCCAACTGTCATGAAAGCTCATGAGAACTACGACTATGAACGAAAGATCGTCCAGTACACATCAGATTACTACTATGAAGGCGCAACATGCCCAGGCTTCGAAGACTTCTCATCTGCAAGAGCAATCAGATCTCTTCATAAATTCTGGGTCCCATCATCTGAATTAGAAGCAGGTGATATCTCAAAGTTGGCAAAGAATGGAGATAAGCAGGCTTATCAAGCAATGGCACAACATTACATCTATTACTCTCGTCTTGCCAGAACATTCGCTCTTGGAATGAAGTGCGATTCTATAGTTATGGCTCTTTCAAACCAAGTTGCTAATGATTACCTTATCACTGAGATTGCCGGAAAGATGAAGGATGAATTCTTCGACGGAACACATCCTGACTGGATCAAGGATACAAGTGTTTACTCTCAAAACATTGATCATAACTTCAACCTCTTCGGAGCAACATACATGGCTCATAGAGCAATGAACAACGTAACAGTCCAAAATACATATTTGTAAGCTGATTTTATTTATATCAGCAAAATTCTATTGATTTCTTTACTATATAAAGCTTTCTTATTTCAAAAAAAGTTTTATTCTAAAATTTGTTTAAATGATCATAATTCAACTGACCACTTACAACTAATAAATAATCAATGCGAGGTGTAACTGTAACTACTAAAAATAAGTGAAATTTACTGTCTAAATTTGCATAATAAACTCAAATGTTAGTTATAAAAAGATAAATCACTTAGACTAATACATTTGAGTGTGTACTTATTAACTAAAGACTGAATACTATGAAAATACTTTTCAATATTTTTGAAATTCAGCTTGGTGGGGAAAACATAACTTTCTCCATTTGATGTAATAAATTTGTTCGATCTTTAATCTGTTGATTGATTGAGTTGATAGAAGAAAAAATTGATTTTTGCATTTCATCATAAGATGCTCTTTGAGATGATGTAGTGTTAGATGCATTAGAGTCTTCTATCATTGCCTTTGCTTTTTTATGTAAAGGTTCAAGTTGCTTTAAAAGAGATTGTATTTCCTTTATATTTTTGTTAAATAATTCAAAAGCATTATCTATTGAGGCCAATGGATCAAGGTCGTACTTTTGATACATACAAAAAGGGCAAATAAAATTATCAATTTCAAAATCGTCTGAAATTGGAATGCATTTCTTATGAAGATACTTTTTGCATACTGAACATTGTATTAAATTGTTTGAGTCAACATGAAAACCACAAATACAGCGGATCTCGTTCGAATATTCGCAACTTTCATTAATAAGTTCGGTGAGAGACTTCCCTGTTGTTTCTAATTCATGGTTGTTTGTTTTCATTTCGGAAGCAATGGCATTTAAAAATGAAAAACATTCCCCTTGCATTCCAAAAAGTGACAAAATTAAATTTTTTTTTCTTATGTCAGAACTATCAGCTAAAACACGATATTTGAGTGTGCTTTTACCTGATGGTCGAATGTTGTTCTTAGATTATCTCCCAGAAGAACTGACAACAGAAATTTTAATGCGATATTTCCTTCAAATACAAATCATCAAAGAATTAGCACCATTTTCCTTGAAATGCAATGGTAAAATACTCAAACCTACTGATTTAATTACTTCTAAAGATATAGAGATCGTTAATTTCAAGCCCAAAAAATTCATTTATGGAAGATATTTTATTTTTATCCTCTCATTAATTGGATTTATTTTTTATTCAATAAAATCGGGTGTTTATGACTTTTCAATAAATGATGGCTCCTTGCTTGGAAGTAATCCATTATTATTGCTTATATCTTCGCTGTTTCTTTTATTAAGTGCATTAGCAATACCTGTTGTTTCATATAGGCCATCTGGTCTATTTGTAGAAATACTTCATTTGTTCATCAAAAGTTTGACTCCAGGCTTTCAATTGGAAGATGTATTAATCAATGATAACCATTAAATGTTGACATATAGAATAAATACTATTATGATATTTATAAATTTTTATAATATATATAAATATTCTTGTTATAGCTTGATTGAAGTATATATCCAAATCGTCTTCTTAAGGATACCCTTCTAAGTCATACATATATTAAATTGAAAACCATATTTATTGATAGCAAATTGTAACTCTCAAATTGAAAAAATCTTTTTCATTGTGAAATCATAAAATCTTGATATCTCTTTTTGGCACCAAAGAAATTTTGAAAAAGTCTGAGAATCTCCCAATATTGGGTAAATTTCAGGCACAAACTTCTTCCCAAAGCTTCATCTCATGCTATTCTGCAGACTCATGAGATTTTCATGAAATGACTCATCTACTATACTAATAAAAACAATTTATAAGCAATTTTTCATAAAATTTTTTGCCCTATTGAAAAAAAATTTGACTTACCAAATTTGAAAAGAAGTCATATTTTTTGTTTTACATACTAGGAAAGGAACAAAATAATATGAAATTAAATTTGTACTTTTTTTGATTTCAGAATAATTCAATTTTTGGAATTATGTATTTGTATATATTGGATGGAAATAGTTAGGGAAAAATATAAGAGTGGTTCTCAAAATTCATTTTTTTAGGGACAAAATGCTTTCGATTTTATTTGGTGTATTCGAATCAATTTTAATAACAGAAATGGCAGACGGTGAACTATCTATCAATCCTCTATCATCTCTCGAGGTCATCTTCAATTTTAGCTTTGATCCGAATTACAACCAACTTTTTTTATAAAAAATCCAAAAAATACGCTTATAATTGATGGTGAAAAGTTAATCCATGCTTATTCAACCACAGGTCCAGTAATCATCAAAAATTTGAATAACCAAAGTGAGCAAATTGACTATACAATCATCGAAATTTCAAAATCATGTGATTACTTCGATTTAGTTTTGAACCCGAACAATGATCAGACCTATTCATTCGATAACATCGATTCTTCCCAGAATTCAAAATTATTTTGTCTTGTTATGACAAGTTTATCAACAACTGGATATATGATACAGGGAACTCTTAATCCTCATACCGATGATAAGTTGGCATTTTACAAAAACACAAATTCAATGAAAAAAGACAAAACTTATATTAACAATAACATGATAATCACAGAATATGCTAAAACAATAATAGTCACATTAGAAAAAGGTACTGGTTATACAACTTCATGTGGAATTGTCGGAATTTATCCAAATACCAATAATCAGAACTCAAACGTAGCGTTTCACCTTCCAAATATAGCCCATCATTTAGAATCATCGATCAGTTTAAAGTTTTCGCCCAAAAAAATTACAATTGATCAGATAATGAGAATGCCGCAAGCAGATTACTTTGATACTAATGAGGAATCTCAGCCTTCATCTTCTGTCTTTGGTCCAGGTTACGGAACTCTCGTTCTTTTCGGAGAAGAATCATATGAATTCGAAATTCCAAAGAATTCATATATAATCTTTACAGATGTTACCAGTAGTGTATATTGTATCGTTACAATTACGAAACCCATTGAAATTTTCCAAAAAACAAAAGTTCGATCAATATTTTTCCAAGAAGCAGGAAAACTAACAATCTGGACTGATATTCCTGATTATACAATCATATCTTTTTCTGTTTACACCAACAAGAAGTTTGAATCCTTCCAATGCGAAGAAATAATTATTCTTGGTGGCCAGGAGAACTATACAATATATGATGCATCGAAGCAAACATGTATATATGGAATAAACACAGACGGATACTTTTTCACAACTCTTGACACTTCAAATTTCGAAGCATATTCAATTTCAGGATATCCACTTGAACCGCAGATAATATATAGAGCTCCAGTATTTATATACAACAAAGGTGCGAATTCATTTATTCCCAAGGTTGTACAAACTCTTTCTTTCATAAATCAGAGATCTTTTCTTTATAATCTGAATTCCAACCCTGATTCTGTTGTTACAATCGATGATTCGGGTACTTTATTGATTAATGGTTCTGAACACTCCAATAATATTAAAAATCCATTTAAGATTTACAGTCCAGATACTTTACCTGAAGAAAAATCAGATTCAATTGTTCCAGCAATTGTTTGTTTAGTTATATATATTGTTATCATTGTTGTTCTTATTATATTGTCAATTTGCTGCAAGAGCCGCATTTTGTACTATCTTGAATCGAAAGATGATGATGATGAAACATCAATTGAAACACAGCAAGTCAGTCAAGCAGACAATACTAAACCATCTGAACTATACTTCAATGATGTCATTATACAAATGAGTGAATCATCGGAATTATCATCAGAAAGTGGAGATATTCCAATTGAAATTGAAGAATTCCATTAAAATATATTATTGTTTTTTGTTTATTTTGAAAAGAGTGAATCTGGAAGTTATAAACTCTTTCGGTATTTTAATAAAGTATTGATATTTTTATCTTTTACGATTTTTGGAAGAAAGTCGCCAAATATGAAAGACTGAACTATAGGGTGTCCAAAGGTGTGTTTAGCACAAACCTGAATACTGCGAATAGAAATAAACAAGTTACATATATATAAAGTTTATTTAAATATAATCACCATTGGATTCAATCACGCGTTCGCAGCGATCGATCCAGGCTTCAAAGACACGCTTTAAATCATCATGAGAAAATTGCTCAAATTGCTCTCTTACAAAATTTTCAAGATCATCTGGACTCGCGAATTCGCGTCCTTCAGCTCTCTTTTTTAGCGTGCCGAATAAATAAAAGTCAGAGGGTGCAATATCAGGTGAATAAATTGGGTTTGGAACAACTTTGACATTGTTTTCCACCAAGTAATTCATTACCTTATGACTTTTGTGAACTCTTGAATTATCAAAATGAATTGCAAACTTTTGTTTTTGTTGTTTGGATTTCTCAAACTCATCAGAATTGATAATTTGAGTAAGAACATTGTCAATTAGATACTGAGCATTCATCGTATTAGGTTTTTGAAGAATATCAATTGCGATGATGCCATTCACACCCCAAAAAACCGACAACATCATCATTGGTGTGTCAATTTTTTTCTTCGGGAATGTTTGCGGATTTTCATCCTTCGGGATCCACATGATTTTGGCTTCTGTTGCATATTGAAACCAAGACTCGTCCCCTGTTACTAAAAAGCGAAACTTCTTGGATTGATACGCACCCAATATAGAGAGGAGCTCTTTCGAAGATTGGACTCTAGATTTTTTTTGAACTGAATTAAGGTTGTGCGGAACCCAACGTGTATACGCTAGTTTGTAGTTCAAATAATTGTGCAGATAATAACTGACTGTTGTACGTGGTATCTTTGTCATCTCCTCTATCCTTCTGAGTGATGCTCTTGGGTCTTCATCTAGCGCTTGAAGAATTGCTTTGATTTTTCTTTGATCCGGCGATTTTTTGTCAATTTTTATGATGGGCGCCTTTTTGTTCATGAAGTGATACATCCTAACATGATACTTACAGTGGAATAGCTAGGAGCATCCATACCGAAGCATTTTACCAATGTCTCGTAGATTTTTTTACAGTCTTTGCATTTTTTTGCAAGAGCGAGGATGTTTTCTTTATGATTCATTAAAAAAATGAAAAAAATCCCGCCAAAATTTCCCGCGAAACCGCCTCTTGTCTCAAAATTCATTTTATATCCCGGCATGGCGCCAAAATACAACTTACTCATCATATACATATATTCATATTTTTGATTATATATTTATAATCAGCATATATCTCCTTTAATAGTCTCATATAGAGCGCTGTGCTAAACGCACCTTTGGACACCCTATATTAAAGATGAAGTTCAAATTTGCATTATAGTATAAATATGCGTATGGTCACGAAATCACTAAATATTATTCGGTATGAAAGGAGATAATTTATAATGAATGATTCCGTGAAAACAAAGCATTTTGAGAGAACTCCTAGAAAAATTGAAATGCTTTAGCAAACCCTTAATCTCTTGAGATTCTCTTGCTTTTTGTCTAAATTTTCTAAGGTGAAAAGTTGATAATTTTGTTCGGGAAAAGGTTATTTTAAATCACTACATAATCCCTTATATTACTGTTATACTTTTTTGCAATAACAATAAACATGTATTGATATTATAAGATAATGTCAGAATGTGGTAAGCGCGCCTCAAATATAGTTTGTAACATCAAATTTAATAGATTTTTTGCCAGATTGTATCTATAATAAGATGTTTGCTCATGGAAATATATATTTTAATTATTTATTCTCTAGTTAGACTAAAGCCTCTTTTTTATGGGATGGTAGCACCATGTGACTGAAGGAGTTCAACTATTTCTTTATTTTTATAATATACTGCCCAATATAGTGATGTTCTTCCATGATCATCTTTTTCATTGACATTTGCACCATGTGAAAGGAGAAGTTCAGCTAATTCCTTATTAAAATTATTCGCTGTGTAATGGAGAATGGACTTTCCTAAATTATCTTTTTCATTTATATTTGCACCACGAGAAATTAGAAACTCAACTATTTCTATGCATTCACGCTCTACTGCAAAATGAAGATTTGTTATTCCATCTCTATCTTTTGCATTGATATTTGCACCATTTGAAAGGAAATATTCGCAAAGAGATGGAATATTAAACATACCTGAATAAATAAAGCATTCGTCAACTTTAGCAAATTGATCGAAATAAACTAAAAATGATTCAAGATTATTATAGCATCCGCAAAGATGTAAATCGATCTCTAAATTGTATTCATTCATCAAGAATGTAACAAAATCAATGTTGTGTGAAATAATTGCATAACTCATGCAATTTTCGTTTGGTTTTCTATATTTCAAACATTCACTCATGATCTCTTTGTTTCCTCCTAAAAATGAAAAATCTAGACATGTTTGTGTTATTTCTGATTTAAATTTCGTTCTCAATAACTTGAAACAATCAACTGCACCGTAGTAACAACATAAATCAAGTAATGAAACTCGGATAAAAGAAATTGGAAAGAAGGAACTATTAATTTTTTGATCTTTATCAAATCCTTCTGCTTCTGTGAATATGATGAATTTTTCTTTGTTGTCATCCATGATTGCTCTGTATATTGTATTTTCTGAATGAATATCTATATCATTGTTTTTCGAAATTTCGAATTTTTTTTCAGTATTGCATAGATTTATTCCATATTCTTTATAAAAAAGGAAGTTATAAAGCTGGTTGATTCCTGTTACCCCTGTAACATGATAATCATCGAAAATGAATTTCACAAGTTTCAAGTATGAGTATGTGTAGCGGTTATTACACGGAATGATATTTAAAATTTCTTTCACCATTTTTTTAGGAAGACACATCTTTGAATCAATCAAGTTTGTTTTGATCATTTTGTAAATCGTGTTTAATTCTTCTTCTTCTTTGTCCGTTTTTAACTGATACAATGCAGTATAAGAATCTATATAGTTTTGGTAAGTACTTCTCAATTCACTGTATGTATCTTTGTCAATATCTTCAGTCATCAAAAAATTTAAAAGTGTTTTTTTTTGCATTTTATCATTGAAAGAACTTTTTAAGGCAAATACTTTATTATGAATGTGAAAAATAATGACTAGAAAGGTATCGAAAAATAATTGAAAAATAATTGCACCATATCAAGTAAAACTGAAACATTGGTCAATTTCGAATTGTTAATGTATCTGAACATAGCAGGTTTTTTAGGCATATTGATAAAATAATGCCGATGTTATTATCAATATGCACTCTGCTACAAATGTTGTCAAAAAAAAAAACAAATATCATTAATAAATCAATTAAAATGATGGAATTTGTATATATTTATTTTTCTTATTCAGGCTCAGAACGTTGAAAAACTGAAATATTATAGTGATAACGTAAATTAGAGTTTATTTAATAAATTTATGAAAGATATTTCTCCTTTAATTGCTTGGCGAAAGCAACCTGAGCTGGGGTCAAAGCCTTTGTCATTGGCTCACGGCAATATCCTGCATCAACACCATCGAGTCTCATTAATTCCTTAATTGTGAGGTATAAGCCATTGGAGAGGATGCCAGCGATTAAATCGTTTGTAACGTGCTGAACCTCAAGAGCTTCGTCGTACTTGCCAGCTTTAGACAATTCAAAGATTTGTCTAGCACGCTTAGCGTTGACATTGAATGTGCTGCCGATGGCACCATCAATACCTAATGAGCAAGCTGGAAGCATCATTTCATCGAATCCGGCCCAAATAAGGTGATCTGGGTAAGCTCTCTTGACACGCTCTAATAAGTAGAAATCACCAGCTGTGAACTTGACACCGATGATCTTTGGATTCTCGAAGAGTTCACCGAACTGATCAGCTGTCATACTGACGCCTGTTAAAGCTGGGATTGAATAAACAATCATATTCATGCCTGTGGCATTGACAATTGTGTTGTAGTAGTTCTTGATTTCTGGGAAGGTGAACTTGTAGTAGAATGGTGTAACAGCGGATAAGCAATTGTAGCCTAATTCTGTGGCATATTTACCTAATTCGATGGATTCGTGGATGTTAATGCTACCGACTTGGGCAATTAATGCAACCTGGTCCTTGGCTTCATCCTTAGCAATGCGGAAGATTTGCTTCTTTTCTTCTGTAGATAATTCGAAGTTTTCACCAGTACTGCCACCAACATATAAGCCATCAATTTTCATTTTGTCTATGTTGTAGCGAACGATTTCACGTAAGCCTTTCTCGTTGATTGTACCATCTTCATTGAATGACACTAACAAAGCACTAAAAAGACCCTTTAAACTTTTAGCACTCTTTCCCTTTGGTCCGGTAGTGGCTTCTGCAGCTGCAGATTTCGCCATAGAAATCGCGAGGAACACGAACATTAGTGGCAAAAATAATTATGTTTACTTTGAGTATTTTTCTGAATACCCATTGAATATTTTCTATACCCATCAAATCAAACATCGATAGGATTATCTAATATGCATGTGCATGTAATTTTAATAATTTATGACATTTTTTGAAAAGCGTTCAACTATTGAGAAGATGTTAGAGAAATTTTGGTTATCGAAGCTATCGCGTTGATATTTATATAGTGGGATTTATAATTATGATTAAGGGTTTCGTTTTGCTAAAATTGTCACTTTTATAGCATATTTGTTTTTGGATGTTTTGCGAAACCAAAAAAAAAAACTATGATATACAATGTGTGTGTAAAGAAAATACTTTATTTACTAGTTAAAAAATCATTTGGTATTGATCAAGTTATTTTTTCTGGATAAGATATTATATGGATAATTGGATAGAAAATACAATTATATAATCTTGTACCTGGTTTAATTAAGCTAATTGTCATCAAAAACTTGTAATTTTTATGAATTTCAGATTTTCTTTTCATTACTGCTTTTCTTAATAGGTCAAGTTCTTATTTACGTTATAAAGTATGATATTTACAAATATCAAGTTATCATGTTTTTTGAGAAATTATGAGAAACAAACAAAAATGAAAAAGATAGGAATAGCAATGAATAGTGATGTGGGTATAGAAAATGTAAGAGATATGAATGCAAAGCAATCAGTATTTAGGATATTGACCATAGATTTCGAAAAAAAAATGCTGCATATTGAGCGAAAACTATGATTATATTATAAGGCTGTCATTTAAAGCATAATGAAACTATTCCCTTTTCATTTTAATCGAATAAGATAGTAAAGATTTTTGAATTAGCTAGAAACTGATGAGATGTTTTCACAAATCAGATTTTTAATCTCTATAATGCATAATTCACTCAATATCTCAATTTTGATATTGCGAGATATTTTTGCTATCGGTTTCGCAATTTTGACACAATAGCAAGAGGGTTCTATAAGCATTATTATCAACGTAGAATCTGAATATCATATCAGAAAATGTCGCAAATCTGACATTTACCTGACCAAATAGCAAAAATAATTGAATACTTTTCGCAAAAACTTTAAAAATCGATAAAAATATGAAATGTAGATATTAAAGAGACTTTTTATATAATATTCATAAAGATTTTCCAAAAATATGATACCGCAAAATTAAAAAAGTGACGTCTTGAGTGGAGTCAAAGGTCGAAATTGCTAGCTAAATGTTTTTTAGCGAAATTGCGTATTGTACGTTTTTTCGCAAAACGAAACCCTTATTATGATCATAAAAGCAATTTGTTTTCCTGCAATAATTTTTTGATAGAGGATAAAACTGATGTAAATTAATGCTTGAACAAATGATGCACTATAGCCAAATTTTCACCTGATAATTCAAGATACAATTAAATATGACAGTCTGAAAGTAAGGTTTATTTGCATGAAAGCTTGATCTTTACAATTGCCAGTTCAATGTATCCATACCTGAATCTATCTGGTACTTGAGACTTCAATTGATTTCTCCAATTTCTAATCTGGCAATCGTCGACTCAAGATAATGTAATTTATTTGTGATTAGTAATGTTGATGATAAATTCACTTTACTATGCTCTAAACAACCTATCGTATTTCATTCTGAAATAGAAATATCTAATAAGATTGTGTGATCAAATTTAGAATGCTAAAAGGTACGTAGCGCCGTTGCCGAATATCAAATTTATTATTATAATTATTTTATTAAATTTCATTAAAAATCTAATAGCTATTACATGCTGTTGAATTACATCAATTTATTTAACCCCTAAATACATAAAACTTAAATGAGATAACAGCTCGAAAACTTTGATTCTTTTGATCTTCGAAATTATTGAAATATGAATTTTCTAAAACTCGATGGAAATAATTTTGAAGTGAAAAAGAATTATTTTTTATCCTCAAAAGTGCCGCAGCAACAATTTTTTACAAATCATATCAAGTTCAGAGCAAACAAAAAATGAAACTTGGCATGATTTGTTCATATATGAAAAAATCTGCACAAATCCTGAAAATTGATTCTCATATTGTTTGTTGGAATTTGATGCAGGAATTAATTATTAAATATTTGTTTTGAAGCCTGTTTTGTACACCATGGAGCACTTGAAAAGTTGTTATTTTGTCTTTACGCAAATATGCTATTCAATTCTCGAAAATTGAAAATCAATGAAAATTATTTCCGCAAATAAACAGGAAAATATATTTAATTCAGTCATAGATGTGATAAGGTTCATTATCTAAGCACTATAAAATACGATTTTTCTAATTGTTATTGATTTTTTCAAAATCAGAGAACTTTTTAGCCCTATCAATTTTGAAAGAAACCAGCCGACCAAATTATATTTTATAGATTTGGCTTATTTACAGATTGATATATTCATTTCGGTAATATGGCTGTTTTTTCCGATCGGGTATTCAATACTTTACGTTGATAATTTTTGCGATTATAAAAAAATTCTCCCAAAAATTTTTCTCATTTAATATGTCAGTTTGTTGTCTAGATTGTGAGTGCGGAATGCACGGCATTCTTCCAGAATTTAACTTTTCAATGACGGAGGAATGGATCGAAGAAGAGAAAAAAAGAAAAACTGCTTTTTCAAATTTAGGAGATAATATTTTTAAAAGTGCAGATAAATTTAAGCAAAATGCTAGAATGGGCATACCATGTGCATTAAGGAGAGATGCATGGTTAATGGCCTCAAATGGTAAGCAATTAATTGAAGAAGCTGGAGATGTTTATGGTAACTCATTAGCTTTCGCTAAACGCCAACTAAAAGATCATATCACATGCGAGCATTCGCTCGAAGAGCTTTTCGGTGTTTCTCCTTATATCATTAAGTTTTTACCAGAAAAAATGAAGCCATTGGTTAAAGATTTTCTTACTGCTCTTTGGGCAACCAACAAAGGTATCGAGTACTCACCATTACTGCCTGCAACAGCCGTAATTTTACTTTTATTTATGGAGCCTCCAGCTGCTTATGCTTCTTTGCAGGCAATGATAAACCGATCGCAAGAAGACTGTTGGTATTTCACAATGGACAGAAAGAATTACCATAAGAATGTCATTGCAATTGAAAAATCAATCATCAAAAAAGCTCCTGACGTCGCAAAAAAGGCAAATGAACTCGGAGTTAATATCGCATTCCTTACATTAGGTTTAATTCCAGCCTTCTTTTTGCCATTCAGCCCTCTTCCAGTTGCTTTAACATTTTTCGATAGTTTCATTGTCGAAGGCAGGAAAGTCCTCATCAGATTCATTACTACAATCTTCAAGCATAATTCTGTTGCGCTTCTTAAGTGTAAAACTTCAAAAGAATTTGCAACAATTTTATTGACAGATATGGATGGTTTTACGAATCCAAACCATCTCCGTAACTTCCTTGGAGAATGTTTCAAGATCTACATGTCACGTAGAAAGCATCCATTCGATCTTCACAAAATTCCTTCATCTGATGTGAAGAAGATTGCCGAAATGAACTCGAACGCAATGATGATGGCACATGTTCTCAGAGATCATATGCCAGAAGACTACAATCCGCTTGATTTTCCAAGAAAAGACAATTTAACAGTTATTACCGAATTAACAAGCACAATTACTCCTGAAGAGATCAGAAAATACCAAACTGATGTTCAGAAGAAGTTGGTCGACATACAAGAAGTTCATGGCGGCAAATTATTAGATAATAATAATTATTACAAGCTTAAAGAGTTTATTCCATTGATTTACTTGAGGAAGAGTCCCGCCTTGATTTATTCCTTGTCTAAAGATGGAACAATGCTTTCCACACTCATTGAAAAAACAAGAAGAAAAGGAGCTCACATTTTGATGATAAAAACAGAGAAATCAATCATTGGAGCTTTCCTTTCTGACCAGATCGAGAATACTTCAGGAAGATTCTATGGAAATGCTTCGACATTCGTCTTCCATATTGGCGACACAATGAATTGCTACAAACACTCACATCCGCCAAACAAAAACTACATTTCTGTTGATGACGACACAATGATTTTGGGTGGACCAAATCCAGCAATCATTGTAAGCGATGGTTTCGAGAATGTTCGATCTTGTGAGTGTGATACGTTTGGATCGCCACAACTCACGATCGATGCATCAGAAAAAATCCTTGATATTGAACTTTACATATTTGAACAGTAACTTTCTATATTTGTAATGAAGTTGTATAATAAATTGTATATGTTTTATCTATATTATAAAGCCTGTTTATCCTAATTTCCATCAATTTTTATTAAGACAATTAACGTTTCCAAATTGGGAGATGTTCAAATTATCTGACAAGTTCGAACTTTCTATGACGAATTCATTTTTGGGAAAAATTGGAGTTTATTTTTGACATGTCAAAAAAAATGGCTTTATAAATCTTCGAAAATAACATTTGATTTAAAAGCACTCTACAGAAAATCAAAGTTGCGTCGTTTTCAATGTAACGTTTCCAAATTGGGAGGGTTCAAATTGGGTTTTGAGTGAGAATTGGAGGTTTTTTACATTAAAATATTTTTGCCAATGTGTCAAAAATAAAGTAGCCGATAATAAAAATGACATAAAGGGATTTGATTGTTTTCGTGTGCATTTGAAAATTTATCATAAGATCGGTATCTGAACCCGGCAACAATTTTTGAACCCGAAAAATTTGGAAACGTTAATGTTTAGGTTAAATTGATGATATTGATAACGAAATTTCTTATTATATCTGGGGTAAAAATTTAATTCTTCAAATACTTAAGGATAATGCTATTATATACCTCAAACAAAGAATAATATATAATTTCTTCAGATGAAAATGTGAGTAGATGTCTGTAATTTGTCTCCACTTATTAGATAGCTGTAAGTAGTTACTCTTATATAATTAAGAGTAGCATTTAGGCTTTATAAAAATATAAATGAAAAGTATTGAGGGAATCTTTTAGAAATTGTATATTGATCATGATTTGCAAAAGATATGAATTAGGAAAATTGAAATGAAATTGGAAAATAAGAAAAGAAATATAAAAATTAAGAAATGATCGTACGTTGGACCGATTTATAATATATAATTATAGCAAAACTTGCGTGGGAATACAAAGGAAAAATGAAAACAAAGATATGGCAGGTAGGAAAAAAATTAATAAATTTTTGTTGGTCAACATTGGTTAATTTCATGTTAAATGGAAATTTTTGATTTTGGTATTTGTGATAATAATAGACTAGATGATTTCCAACGTGATTTGCAACTGACGTTTCTAAAAAATAATGAATTAAAGGAATTTAATGTGAGTGAATATCTACTATGCCTATAAACAAGCTTGTAAGCCCAATCAACTGATTGAATATCGATATTTTGGTATTCTGGAGAATATTCAAACTGGAATCAATCGATTTTATGAATATAATCTAATTTATTCGACATAAATATCATATATCTCTAATGAGACATCACATAGACAAAAACTGCTTGTATTTTTTATCTTTTATTCACGTTTTACATAAAATTGAGAAGTGTTAAGGCGGTTAAGTATCTTTTCTTAACTTTATTCATTGATCGTAATATTAACATATATGATATCATAATTAATATTTTTGTAAAATTAATCTGGCAACGATAAAAGATTTTATCTTGATGTAAAAAGCAATAAAATTTTTCCTCGAGCCAATTATTATATTTCTTAATGTATTTGATTGATAAATTAAACTAAAATTCTCAAATAGAAGGACATTCCTACAATTGAAAAAAACGATACACAAATAAAATTATGCCCTGACCAAATATTCCAAAACATGATTTAATAATAAATTTAATGAACAAAATAAAATTGCCGCACTAAACAAATTTTCAATACTGCTTTTAAAAAACCATTTAATTCATGTAATATCCAAAATAGATAATGACAAAAGAGACATTTAAGAAAAGACAATTTTGGCTGATTAAAATTTTGAATATTTTATAGGACGGTTTGTGATCTCATTTTATTCCACAATGTGTGAGACTTGCTGCCCATACAAGATCTGCAAGGATCCAGAACTTCTCAAGGCTAAGCTTAACGAGCACGTTCGTTATGTCAACGCCATCCAGGCTATCCTCTACTTCAAGAAGCCAATCCAATTCGGAGTTATCTTTGTTCTTGTTAACTTACTCTTCTTCTTCATTGGCTACTTCCACCTTAGCTTCTTCCCAACAGTTGCTTTATTAGCCTTACTTTACAACTTAGGAAAGCTTCTCTTCTCTTTCATTGGTGATAAGATTGTTGACTTCCTCTTCCCAGCTGAAGTTCCAATGGGCGAGGCTACAGAATCAAACCACATCCGTTCTGCTGATGAAGTTGCTGCTTGCATCTCCTGCTGCGTTCGAAAGTGCGATGGCTGCCCATGCCACTGCAATGGCGGCATCCCAATCAAGAAGATTGCTATCATGGCCGGCCTCTTTGTTTTATTCCTCTTAGCAGGCACATTCTGGCTCAACTTCGTTATTGTCAACCTTGCTCTCATTCTCCCAGGTGTTCTCCTTCTCCCACAGGTCAACCCATACGTCCTCAAGGCTAAGGATGCTATCTGCCCATGCAAGGCTAAGGCTGAGTGAGTAAGCCCTTTAGAATCCCTATTAATTCCTGCTTTTATTTGAATTAAATTAAATTATTTTTATTAATTTCCTCCATTTTTACAAGTCTTTTTCTTTATAATCATTTAGTTTTCAGAAAATATAAAAATTCATTTTGGAGATCCAGTTAAATGAATAAAATCAAGTTTTTCATCTAATTACCAATGATCTTTAGTCTATGATTTTAGAGTTGCCATTCAATTCGGTGATTAATATAAAACAACTCCAAATGACATATGAATATAATCGAATCTACTACATCAGAATCATCATAAAAACGTAATGTTGACATTTTTAAAGGTATACGAAATTAAAAAAAATAATAATTTGAAATAATTCTATAAGCTTTATAAAAATAGATAGTAAATACGTTACTTTTTGATAGCAGAAGCTGTAGAAGTAGCGGTGCTTGTGGATTTTAATCCTCCGCCACCTAATCCACCTCCTAAACCAAAACCTGTCTTTTGAGGAGCCGAAGCTGCTGTTAAGGAGACACCAAACAAATCTGTCTTTTCTGATATCTTCTCATTTTGCTTCTTTTCTTCTTGAAGGAATAATTCGTATTTTCTTTTGATTTGTGTTGCAGTTGCTGATGAATTATCTTCATCCTCTGCTTCTTCTCGTTCTTTAATTGTGTTAGCGCTAATCTTTAGCTTATTCATTGACTGAGTTCTAACATTATCAACTTTATCTGACAATTCTGCAACGGATGTGCTTAATCTCTTAATGGCTTCCGTTTGCTGAGTAAGAAATTCGATGTATTCGTTCTCATCTGTTGCGTTCTGAGAAGTTTGGAAACGACTTTCATAAGAAGCAAGTGATTCTGAGAGTTCTATTGCTTTTCTTTCTATTCTACCAACATATCTAACAATAAAAGGTGTAGGAATTTGTCTTGCATGAGAAGACACAGAAACATCATTTCTATTTGTGTCAAAATCTTCTCTAATTTCTTCAACAATTGCTTTGCAATCATCAGCCTGATGTGCTAATCCCATCAAATCGCCAAGGAGTATATCTTCTGTCTCTTTCCTTATTTCTTTAATTGTATCTTCGATATTATTATTTTCAAGGTCAATATTCTCTTGTTTTGCAGCCGCAACACCTACTTTCTTTGTACTTACTCCGTTAATCTTATTTAATGCGTCGATAAACTTCATTAATGTCTCTCTATCTGATATATCTTCAATTCGTTGATTTTCCGATAATTTAACGACTTGAACTGCTGTATCTGCTTGTTTACCTAAAAGACCACCTCCTAATTTATTTCCACCAAGTAATGGTTTTGATTGAGTATTCATTTAAAAAAAAAACAAATTTTTGTCACTTTTTTGCTAAAATCTTCAAAAAAAAATGGATGAATATAAAGAAGCTGAAATTGATTTTTTATCAAAAAATGAAGTTAGTAGTAGTAAGAGCGGTGATCAAAATATCGATATATCGTATGATACTGCAATATTTCATTTTATGGAATCATTTAATCAACAAAATCTACAAGAATGTTTAGAAATAATACATATAATTCTTCAAGCTATGGCTAATATTCATGAAAATGATATAAGTTGCTTTATAACTTCAGGAGTTATGGTACAATTTTTTGATGTCCTCGAATGGGATATAGATGTTCATAATCAAACATATGAACTTATACTATGTGTTATACAAGTTATAGAAAAGCTCATTTCTTTTACTAATTTTCAGTTTGCCCATTCATTAATTTATCATGATATAATAACACATCTTGTTTCAATAATTGCAAAGCATGATTACAAGACAATCGTTCCGTGTCTCAAATGCTTACGTTCTCTCATTCAAGCAGACTGTTCTCATGCAGTTCCTGTCTTATTAAACGTTGCTCCAATAGAATTTTACAGTGAAATACTACAAAGCGATGCTGATACGATACCTGAACAATCTGTACAAGAAATAATTAATCTTTTATATGATATGTTAAATTCTGGATTTTTAACAGTTGATGTGCCTCAATTTCATGATATTTATACAAACGAAGAACAAGAAAATAATGAAGAACAACCTCCACAACCAAATCCTCAAGAAAACGTACAACAAGAAGAAAATCAAGAAATTCAAGAAGAAGATTTACCTGTTGAAGTGTTAGAACAACTTCCTCCTAAGCCGCAATTTGTTCCTAAGTCAGTGCACAAGCTAGATGTTATGGAAGAAGAGAAAAGAATTAAAGAAAAATTTAGTTCATCAGATGATGAAGTTAAAGATGATTCTAGTGCATCAGGAGATGGAGAAATAGATGAACCTGTTGATATATCCATTCAACCTATTCAATTACCTCCAAAACCTGCTGAAAATGAAGATATAATTAAATCTTTCTTTGAATTATTCGAAGAAATATTCTCTCTTAAAGAGGATAACTACAAATTAATTGCTCTTCAAGGATTCAAGAGTCTTTTCCACAGAGATCCAAGGTTTTGGTCAGATAAAATTTTTGATGTGATGTTGGAAGGGAAATTCTACAACGAACTTTCTTCCCCAAGCTATAGAGTTCGTAACGCATCCATTAAGCTCTTAATAACTATATTTAAACGTAGAAAAACAAATGGACCTTTATCTACCAAAATTGTGGTCGATAACCTACTTGTTCCTGAGGATAATCCTGAAGACCAAAGTGAAAACTGGCCAAAGAACTCGATTGCAAGCGATACAACGAAATTAATTAAAACAATGATTGAAAATGATCCAAAAAAGAGGAAGAATTTCATCAACGATGGATATTATGATATCCTGAATGAAGTATTAGGTAAATCCTCATTCGCACTTAAGAAATTGTTGCTAATTTCTTTAGTTGATGTTACAAATTCATACAGAGATGATAAAACATATATTATTCGAAAAGCTTTTGAAAGTGGAATGAAGCCTTACTTTATTGAAGCACTCCAATTGCCAGAACAGCGATATGCGGCTCTTTCAGCAGAATTACTCATGAGAATGATATATGCATACAACACTTATGCTGAAAATGTTGTTACTAAGAGTTTTACTGATGAAGATCGTACAATTATCATTGATTTGATTAATGACGACGAATTATCAGATGATTATGTTGAAATGCTTATTAAACTAAACAATCTGATAGGTGGAGATGGTGAATCATCAGATTCGGATAGTGGCACCGGAATGTTTAACTTTTAGCTTATTTTGTATTTATATTTTTTTGTTTTTATAAAATTATTTATGTTTATAGAAAGATAATTGACTCTTATCCTTATAGAATTGTTTAAACATATATTAATGGACAAACAACTCTGGGATAATTATTTTTTTCCTCATCTTCAGCCAACATGACAAAATATTATTGAGTTTATGCTCATATAATGATTTGACATCAATTGATTGATATCTCTTTAACCTTCAAATATTTGATTATTTATATCATTGACGACCACATGTTTAAGGAGTAATTTGAATTAAACTATGCATAAAAGACAAAAATGAATGATAAAATATTTTTAATGACTAATTTGAATAATTGATAGATTTAATTTAATGGATTATTGCTTTTTTACTATAATATCAACAAAAATCCTATAAAATAATACAGAATCTCTGATATTAAATTGAACTTTTTCAAGTTGATATGTGTAAAAACTAAATTTAAGTTCTATTTTTTCCAAAATTTTTTCAGTTTTGATATTTTGATTTCAAAATCATAGAAATTCTCTGTTGAATTATCGATTTTTAATTATTTTTGGAATTATGAAAAAGATGAGTAATCATTAATAGTCAAAAAGCAACTCTTGCCATTCAACAAAATTGAAAAATTGAAAAATATCGAATTCAAATTTCAAGAAAAACGATCAATATCTATAGACTAATATACAAAATGCATTTACCTGTTATTATAGACTAAAGCAATTCTGAATGCAATGATTTATGGAACAAATTAAACAAATTATTCCAGAAAAAAAAGATTCAATAAAATTAAAACAAACAAAACAATAAATTTTATATAATCAAAACATGTCAGGAGTTACATTCTTTGGAAGTGTTAATTTATTATTGAAATCATCTGAAAACAACTCATCTCCAGTGCACAACTGAATCTTTGGTCTTACCATCGATAACTTGTTGAAAGGAACGTTCGGAGCTCCAACCAAATCCTTCAAGAACTGGGAAATGCGCTCTGCATTCGCGTTCATCATAAAATTAGAAAAAGCTTGGAATTGTTGGTCGTCGATCATTTCTCTATTCAAATTTTCCAAATCAGATTTTTCGAATGGTCCTGTTCCTCCGAACAACAAATCTGATAACTCTTTTCCAGAGAAAGGAGATAAAGTTGAAATATCTATTGCTTTCTTGAGTCCAGTCTTAAATTCTTCAACAGCTGTCATGTAAAGCTCGCCACAAGTATAAGATTTGACTTTTTCTCGGTACATTTCCATATTTGAATCAGAAATATATAAATCATCAGCAAGGGTTCTTGCAGAATCATCAGGGTAAGTAAATGACTTGTTGAAAAACTCATCTTCTATCATTTTATTTGCAAATAATTCATCTACGTCTGAAAATAGTAATGTATGGCCATTAATAGCATCAAACAACGCTGAGTGTAATTTAAATGGTAATGTTGTTCCGAAAATGAGTGATTTTCCAACAATTACGCCTAATCCTATTATTGACTTTTTCTCATTTTCTTCTTCTGGTGGATATAAGTGCACCATGCTTGTGTCCCTATATACTTTAAGATTCAATACCGAGTTCTTGATTTTATTTTCGAAATATAATTTTCCATAATTGTACATGAATCTTTGGTAACTCATATGACATTTATCGAAATATATGTCGAAACTGAAGTGAGGAAGTGAATAGATTGAGACCAAAATATTGCCAATTCCTTCAAGAGAATTTGATCTTTGGTCAATTTTGAGTTTCAATCCAATATCTCTGCAGTGTTTACCATACATATATAAGGAAAAGACATCTGCACCATAATGGAGTGAGTTATTCAAGATTACAGATGAGATATATTTCAATTCGAAAGGAAACATAAACGGATATCGATAAACTATCCAAGGAACATATGAACAACGTGTAAGTGTACCAGACAAGTACTTCTTAAGCAAGAAATCAACTCTTTTTATGATAAATTCATCTTGGAATTCTTGTGAAGGATGTAAACGATAAAGCTCTTTCAAAATGGCGAATATAATTTCTAATTTATCACAAATAAACTGTTTTGAAAGAGATTGATCGGAAATTTTTCCTTTTATCGTTTGCGTTTCAAGAATTAGATCTTTTTCGATATCGTGGTAGTCTTCAGCACTATCTACTAAAGCATGCACTAAACTTTGCTTTGTAATATAAAAGTTTCGACCAATTGTAAAACAATACAGTTTGTAAAGAGGATTTTTGGCCAACATATGGACTGTTGATATATACAGAAGGTTATTTTTATATGTAGGGAATTCAAAATGCTCTGTATATGGGCTTTTCTTTAAATCAATTGGATCTTCTGAAATTCCATTGAAAGTGTTGTTAACTTCTGCCTCTATTTCATATAATGTTGAATAAATTGGAACAATGAACTGTTTAATCTGGTTTTCATGCTTCACACGTATAGTTAATTCCTTATTTAGAAATTGATCTAAATTGTCTGAAGGAAATGGATCATTTGGCTCCGGAAATGGAAGTATTCTGAGAAGTTCAATACAATATTTCCTTAAAAGTTCGGCTTCATCATTGAAATGAATATGATTATCATTTTGATGACTCAAAAATTCAAGAATCTCTTCGAAAACACCGGATTTATACATCAAATATGGTGATATATCTTTGATGTTCATCAATTTCTTGAAGCTTAATATTGATTTCGGATCAAATTTGAATTCAATTTCTTTTGTATATTTTTCTAAAGAAGGAAACTTTGCAAAGAATTCTTTGGGAAGATCAGTTGCATAATCAACTGCTAGAATATGATTTAATATTGAAAAATCCGAAAAAATTGCATTTGAATTTTTCAGAGTGAGTTTATCAATAAGTTTTCCTGATAACAGCTCTGATATAAGTCTGTTTTCCATGATAGGGATGTTCATTTCGTATTTGGTGTAAAGATCAAGAATTTCAGGTGTAATATTATAAAAATTATCGACAACATATTGAATATATTCCTTAATAATACTCTGTGAGTCATTGTCTACCTTAGAGGCACAAAGAGAGAAAAAATGTGAAGAAAATTGGATTATATTTTCAGCAAATAAAGAACTATACTTGTATCGTTGCAACAGACCGATAATATTGAGGCTCTTGAGCGAAATATTCGAATGTTTTGAAGATGAAAATGTTAAAATATTATTGAGTTGTTCGAAAACGAAATTTATGATGCTGTAACTTGTAGAGTTGTTTATTACCTTAAAAAGATCTTGAAAATCTTTTATGTATGCATTCTGATCATTTCTGCTTGAAATGTTTTGAAAAATCACAGTTGACATCCTGGAAACGCACTCATCCTGGCTATTAAATAAACTTATAATTGAATGAGAGATGGAAACAAATATGGAGTGAGGAAAATTTTTTGTAATTGTACAAAGTTGAGAAAGAATCTCCTTTTGAGTAATAAAATCTGTTAGTTCTAATTTACTAAAGAAATCTGGTATTGTTTCACATAAAATATTTCCACAAATTATAGCATTTTTTGAATCTTTTTCTTTTGTTGCTAATTTTAGGATCGAAATGAATAAATTGTAAATAGACCCTAAGGTTCTTGGATCGTCTGTTTTAAAAAGGTTGATTAATTTGTGCTTTTTTGTTATTAAATCAAAATTCCTTAAAGATTTATCTGGTTCTTGTTTAATATTTGATATTAGAAGCTCACAAATAGATTTTCTGCTTGCATCAGTCAGAGAATCATCATTCCAAATTGAATCTAATTCTTCAAGAGCTGCTATTTCTTCAGTGCTTTGGTCTTCCGAAACAGAAGATTGTGAACTGCTAGGTTCTTCTTGGCTAGATTTTACTGTACTTTGAGTTCCTCCCATTGTGACAAAATTAAAATCTGTCGCCAAATAAAAATGAAAAAAAGCCATCCAGTAATTAACAATTATGAAGGACAAGAAATATAAAAATTTAGTTTTGTTATTACCAAGGCTATATTAATATGAACGTTATATTCATATTTAAATCTAAAGACTAATTTTATGTGAGAAATAATAAGCAAAAAATATTTAATAAGTATCGCCAAGTGATTCAGAGTATCCTGTCTCTGTTTCACCAGTAGTTTCTGTAGTAGTTGTATCATCTTTAGATTCTGTACCTTCCTCTTCTTCTTCACCAGATTTCTTTCTAGCGGCTTCCTCTTCTGCTAATCTCTTCTTTTCTTCAGCGAGGCGAGCTTCTTCAGCTTCGCGAGCCTTTCTTTCCTCTTCAAGGCGTTTCATTTCAGCTTCACGTTGAGCCATGAAATCTGCCTTTTCTTGAGAAAGTTTCTTCTGTTCTTCACGGAATTCTTTCCATTGATCTTCAACATCACGATGATGAAGAAGCCAATGAGCTAAGAAATCGATTGGATCTGCTGGATCTTCAAGAGCTGTTTCCTTAAGGCCCTGAACAAGAACATCGCCGAGTTTATCGCGTAAATACTGATTATCAAAGGACATTATAGAATTTTTTGCACGTTAATTTTTGTAAACTAAAAGTGCCGATTTCCAGTACTAAAAACAAAACAGAATTTCAGGCAAAGAATAAGAGATTTTGAATATCACTGTGATACCAAATCAGGTTTAAAAAAAAAAAAAAAAAAAAAAAAAAAAAAGGTAGTGGGGCTTCCAGGCACTTCGTGCCTTCTAGCCCTGAAGATGTTTAGTATAAATGAAGTTTTTATTCGGAGGGCTTCCAGCCCTAAGAATTTTTCCCAAGACCCAAGAGGAGGACCGAACCCCAGCCGACCAGCCGTTGACTTTTTTGTCATGATTTCATCGTAAATGTTTTGTCATGATTTCATCGTAAATGTTTTGTCATGATTTCATCGTAAATGTTTTGTCAAGACTTCTTCGTAAATGTTTTGTCAAGACTTCTTCGTAAATGTTTTGTCAAGACTTCTTCGTAATGAGCGTAAATGACCCAAAAATAATGTTTATGTTAGAATGTTAGATCTAACACGTTTTCTAACATGTTTTCTAACATCGTAGAAAACTCATGATTTCTTCGTAAATGTTTTGTCATGAATTTCATCGTAAATGTTTTGTCATGAATTTCATCGTAAATGTTTTGTCAAGATTTCTTCGTAAATGTTTTGTCATGAATTTCATCGTAAATGTTTTGTCATGAATTTCATCGTAAATGTTTTGTCAAGACTTCTTCGTAAATGTTTTGTCAAGACTTCTTCTTCGTAAATGTTTTGTCAAGACTTCTTCGTAAATGTTTTGTCAAGACTTCTTCGTAATGAGCGTAAATGACCCAAAAATAATGTTTATGTTAGAATGTTAGATCTAACACGTTTTCTAACATGTTTTCTAACATCGTAGAAAACTCATGATTTCTTCGTAAATGTTTTGTCGAAACTTCTTCATCGTATATGTTTTGTCAAGACTTCTTCGTAATGAGCGTAAAGGACCCAAAAATATAATTTAGGGTAGAAGGTTAGATCTAACATTCTAACATAAACATTATTTTTTGGTGTAAATTTCATGATTTTCAAGAGTTTTCTACGATGTTAGAAAACATGTTAGAAAACATGTTAGATCTAACATTCTAACATAAAATATATTTTTGGTGTAAATTTCATGAAAATTCAAGAGGGTAGAAAACTCATGATTTCATCGTAAATGCTTTGTCGAAACTTCTTCATCGTAAATGTTTTTAACTTCACTTAAAATGCCACGTAAGCTACGTAAGAATATACGTAAGAGGAAGAGAGCATTGAAACATCCAATAGTAAGACTGACACCACAACAACAGTTGCAACAACAAATGCTGAATGACCCACTATGTTGCAACAAATGTCAAGCAATCCTATGCTTTTAAACCGAGTTGTTGGTGCACAGAGTGGAGGTTTAAGAGCGGCACTTTTAGCGAAAATGGCAGGCTATGGTGGAGCTGCAGACGGAACAGCATATAACCCTCAAAGTCAAATGAATTTGAGTTCACTCAAAAATCAAATAACAGATGTCAAAAAGTCAAACATAGACATACAGAAGCAAATAAGTGAAAACGAAAAAGAAACTAGAATATGACAGACACACAAAGAAACTAAATGAGTTAAACGTAGAGAAAAAGAAGAAAGAAGAACAACTGAAAGAACTAAGTACAGAGGAATATGCGAAAAAAGTGTCAGAAAAAGCAGCAGAAGTAGCAAAAATGGAACAAGATGTCATAAATTTGAAAAACCATACTACTCGATATAAAGTACTGAAAGATGAAGAGATAAAACAAAAAGCCCTGAAGACATATATGGATAGCGATGAGTATAAAAAGGAAGTTGAAGCAAATGTAAAGGCAGAAAAACTTTTACAGTTGCAAAACCAAACCGTACAGTATGAAAACTTAGCACAAGAAAGTAAAAATAACGACGCAGCCATGCAAAAGGCAATGAAAAGCGCAGAATATATAAAAGCTAACAATGACTGGTTAGATGCCCAAGCCAACGCTAAAGCAGCCCAACTCATAGGGTCAATAAGGACAAAAATACAAGCGGATGAAGACAGTTCAAATGAAGCTTTAACGAATGCTGACTTTAAGAACGCCTTCGAAGCTCTTCATAGTAAGGTGAAACAAGTGAACGACTTCTCATCTGGAAAGAAACTGAAGTCTGAAGGTTTCGACAAAGAGTTAAAAGAAGTAGCACAAAATATGACGAAAATAACAGATGCAGCAACGAGACAGGCAGTTCAAAGTGCCTATGACGCCGTTAGAGCAACTGTTGTGGAAAGTCAAGAAAAAGAGTTACAACAGACCAAAACAGACCTAGTAAATGCTTTCTTAAGAACGAAAAGTCAGGTAGGACATTACGCTGCAGATGGAACATATGTGCCAGCTGGTGGAACTTATATACCAGCTGGTGGAACTTATATACTAGCTAGTGGAACTTATATACCACCAAACCCTCCAAGAGAAGCACCTGCACCAGGACTACCTAAAACATTTACATCGTCACATGGACACAGACACAGGCATGCACCAAAACCAACACAACAACCAACAGTTCAAAATCCAGCACCACAACAACAACCAAAACCAACAGTTCAAAACCCTGCACAACAACCAACAGTTCAAAACCCTGCACAGCAACAACAACCAGCACAACAACCAACAGTTCAAAACCCTGCACAACAACAACCACAAACAGAGCAAGGACATAAAAGAAGTAGAGAACAAGGAAACCAAGAATTCTTAAAAATGCTTAAAGAAGAGTGTGGTTTCCCAGATACTGTTGACTTTAGTGACAGATATAAAGAAGCTATTGGAAAGTTCAAGGATGGAAATACTGACCCGAACCTATTTAGCTTTATGGCTCAGCACCAAAACGGATATAATCTCAAACCTGGAAAATACAAGCTCGCTAAGGGATATGATTTAATAGCATATCATCCAAATGACATGGATGAATTTACTCCGAGATATTTGATGTCAGAGCTAAATGACAATTCAACTTTCGTCATGAAACGCGTAAAAAATAGAGACGGAACGAAAGAACAAAAGCTTATGAATGCGGATGACGTAGATAGGGAAATTGTTAAAAACGGTCTCGGAATATATGAAATGCCAGCAGATGAGGTACAAGAAACTCCACAGGAAGAAATAGTTCAGATACAACCAGACATGGAAGAAATAGTTCAGCAACAACAGCTAGAAGAGCCTGAAGGAAACGAACAAGTCACTCCTTTGGAAACTAACTTCACAGAACTAGATGAAGATTTGGAACAGCCGAAAAATCTTGACCCTCAACAAGAGTATGCGGAGAATATGGAATATTTCCAAGAGTCTAAAAAAAATTCGGCTGACATAGTAGAAGAATATCGAAAAATGTTTGCCGACATACAAAAGACTCCAACACCAGATGAAAATATTCAGCATAGAATGGAAGTACTGAAAGAAAATGTACACAAATACAACAACCCTTTTACTTACGAGCATTTAACGTTCAATCTTCGATGAACTCGGTGAAAATAAAAGGTTAAATTTCAAGAAAACATATAGAAATGAAACATTGTTTAAAGTTCATTCAGAACCTAACCAAGATGGAAACAAACCTACTTTTGTTTCTGCAGACGATGGAACTACAATGAGATGGGTCATAAGCTAATCCAGATAGGTGGTTCATAAACTTACAACCACAATTCCAAGAAGTTGTAGACGCAATGGAAGTCAATGGTGAACCAGATATAGCTGGTATTTTCAGCGCGGCTTTAAAGCCATTGAAAGATATGAAACATGCAGATATTTTGGACCAGTATGAAATGAACATGGCTGATGGAAATATAACACCTGACGTTCTAGAACATTTATCTCAAAGAACTACACAGAACCATAGAGATGGTATATTTGGTGAAGAGTTTAGAAAGAAAGTTAGGGAGAGCGAAGGAAGAGAACCTATTGTACATGACCTTGCAAACGAAAGTTTACAAAATGTCATAAAAACTTACTTTGCAGACAATGAACCGAGAAGGGATGAATATTTAAGAAAACTCAAATGGACAGTACAAATGAAATGTTAGTATTGAAAAACATGTTCCTTGACAAAATAAACCAACTACAGAAATAAACGACGCAAGACTGAAAGATTGGGTAAAAGCTTTCCATTCACAAAAGATATTATTGGTAACATGGAAAGAAAACCAGAATGGCTACAAAAAACATATATTTGGAAACGAGCTTATTCCATATGGACAAGCTCTGTTTGAAGAGCTTGAACAGAAACTCAGGAAAGAGTCATGCAAACAATACGCAAAGACTCAAATACAGACTATGACAAACTCTTTCTAGGATATAGGTTACCTGAGATGGGCGACCAGAGCCAAAAGGCAAAAAGGACATGGGAAATTTGCAACATACTAGATGAACATAATGCAAAGATGCAACAACTTCAAGCAGAGGGCAATGAAGGAAAAAGAAGAGTTAAAAACTCAGTCAGGAAGAAAGTAAAGCTTGGTCCACGTGGGTTCTATTATGACATATAAATCCAACTATTCTATATTTTTACTCATATGAAATGTACGCCGCTCGAATATAACGCCAACAGTTTTGGATGCTATGAATGGAAATGTTTCCGAATGGTATAACGAATGCGACAATGCCATTAGAAGGTCAGAAATAGTTCCTGGAACTTACGAATATACAACTGCTGTTTCTTATGGAAACGTAGGTGAGTTTGGAGAAGGTTCTTCAACAACAGTAGATATTGCTTGCGACAGGTTTCATATAATTTCTATTGACAACTCTTTCTTATACGTGGAACAAGACATTGAAATAAAACCTTCTGCCAAGTTGTCTGACAAGAAAGGTTGCAATGGAATTTTCTATGTCGGATACCAATATGCTCCAGAAGTTTTCATGGGATATAAGATATATTCTAACTCTGACTTAGTTCAAACAGTAACATGGGCAAACTATGAATGGTTCGCTTTGAGAAACTCAGTACAACCACAAGCTAGAGAACAAA